TCATTTCCACCTCCATCTCCCACCTCCATCTTCCATCTTCCACTTCCATCTTTCACCTCTAGCTTCCATCATCCATCATCCACGTCTCTATCGTAAGTCCCATTTTCCAATTTCGACTTCCACTTCCCCAGTGACCTTTGATCCCTTCTTCTCCCGTATTTCAATTTCATCTTTCAGGTATGTTTTCAATTTTCCTACCGTCTCACTTTTCTTCTCTCCACCCAACTTCCCAATGATGACAAAAGGGTTCTTTTCCAGCTGCCTGTCAGCAAATGGAATCAAATACTCTGTCTGAGGGACAGTTCAACTTTCAGTTGTTCTGGTTGCGGTCGGGGGTTTCTAGATTTTCTTCCTATCTTCCTCTTTTCTTCTTTTCTCCCGCTTTGCGATTCTTTTTTCCCCTTCCTCCTCTTGCTCTTGTACCACTCATTCTTCCTCTTCCCCTCCCATTTGCTTCCTCTACTTCTTGCTTTCTGTTTTCTTTTCGTAGCACACACACACACATCGAGTGATGACCAGGGTTCTAGTTCCGACTGCACGTCAGTTATGGAATGAAAATATTGTCTGACACTGATTGAAGCACTCTAGCCTCTCGCTTCTGTTGCTCCTTCTTTATTGTGTCTGTGGGTGCTGGAGAGACAAACGGAGCAAGATCTTGTTCGTCTCCAGTCCCGAATTTCCCGGTTTTCCTCCTTTTTCTTTTTTCTTCTTCCTTCTTTCTGTTCACTTCCCACTGTATCTCTATTTCCCACCCCAGTCCAACACACACACACACGCATGGCGTGATGACTTAGGGTTCCATATTCCAACTGCAAGTCAGTAATGGAGTAAAAATACGGAGTCTGACATTGATCGATCCATCGGGTCTTTCTTTTTTGTGCTTGTGTGTGTGCCAAGGACACATTCGCATTCCCTCCACCCTCAATTTCCCACATCACTTGTTTTTGTTTTTTGTTTTTGCTTTTTGCTTTCTTTCTGTTGACTCTTCCTTCCTATCCTCCTACCACATTTCGCTTCAACCCAGACACTGGTCACATGGAGTGATGACTATGGGTTCCGTTCCCAGCTGCGTGTCAGCAATGGGAAAAAATATTTGAGTCTGACGTTGATTGAATCACTCTGGCCTCTCGCTTGTTGGCGATTCTTTCTTCTTTGTGCCAGTGTCTGCTGGAAGAAGCACATCTGAAATTCCTACACCTCCTCACTTTCTTCTTTGCTTTTTCTCTTCGCCTTCTCTTTCCCATCTTCGCTCTTCTTTTTACCTTTTCTCTCTTCAACACATACACACTTAGGATGATGACTTAGGGTTCGTTCCAGCTCCAAAGGCAATGGAATCAAAAATTCCAGTCTGACGCCGAAATTGATTCACTCTAGCCTCTCGCTTCAGCTGTTTCTTTTTCACTTGTGCTCTGTGTGTTTGAAGAAGAGAAAGTACTCTGCATTTCTGTTCGTCTGGGGGTCCTCTTTTCTCTTTGCGTTTCCTTTTCCCAATACATACACACTCAGGATGATGACATAGGGTTCATTCCGGCTGCAAGTCAGCGATGGAATCAAAAATTTTGAGTCTGACGCCGAAATTGATTCACTCTAGCCTCTCGCTTCAGCTGTTTCTCTTTCACCTGTGCTCTGTGTGTTGGAGAGGCCACACAAAGACCATTCCATATTTTCATGTCGGCCATTGATGAAAACACTTGGTCTGGCTTCAGTTCTCTGTTCCTGTCGGAGTCGCAATGATGAGTCAGTCCGGTAGTCTTTCGAGTTTGTTTAAAGCAGACCATGAAAGAAAAATTCAACTCTGAGCGACTATACTAACCTATCCTCCTCCCCTTCTTTTGTATACTCACTGACTTGTCTTTAGTAGAAACTCTCCCCTTTTGACCTATCCTCCTCCCCTCCCCTCCCCCTCTTTTGTTTACTCACTGACTTGTCTTTCGCAGGAGCTCCTCCCATCTTTTGACCTATCCTCCTCTCCTATCCTCCTCTCCTCTCCTCCTCCCCTCCCCTCCCCCCGTCTTTTGTATACTCACTGACTTGTCTTTAGTAGGAACTCTTCCCTTCTTTTGTACACTCACTAACTTGTCTTTAATAGGCATTCCTTTCTCTCCCTTGTACTGGGCACTTATAGTAAGTCTTTTGCTTTTCCACTTCTTCTTTTTTTCTTTATGGAGTGATTAGAAAGCAATGTACAACAGTACAACTACGATACCAATGAGTGCCAAAATTGCCAGGGTTCTTCTGACCATGATCGGCTTGATTCCATTTTCTGACTTTATCTGTCTTGTTCTGATGGCTGATCTCTTTTCTGAAACAGGGCTCGTCAAATGAGGTTTTTATTTCGAATTCTGGTGCGCTCCTCTCCCCCACCCCAGCTCCTCACTCCTATCCTCCCACCACTTTACACGTATGGAATGATTACATTCCTCAAGCACGATCACACAGTGAGTGCGATTTGAGCAACACTTCAAGGTGTTGAACTTGCTATGACCATACGAACTTCCTCCAACTCCTTTTCCTTTTCCTTTTAATTTTACCCTTTGGATCTGTCCGCTGGCCACCCTTCTGGACTAGGGCTTCTGAATTCAAGATCTCTCTTCCTTTGTCACATTGCTTTATGGTAAGTCGCTTTTGTTTTCTATGTCATGGGATGATTACAAACAAGAACACAATATAAGATGGTGACATTAGGGTTCTTCTGACCATGATTTCTCAACATTTCTTTCTCAGTTCTCTCTTGATGATCTCTATACTAACCACTTTCTTTGGGCAGGGCTCTACGCAATTGCCTCCCTCAATCATTTACGGTCGGTTTCTCCCTCCCTCCTTTCTTCGATATGGGATGATTACAATCACGAACACAATATAAGATGGTGACATTAGGGTTCTTCTGACCAGAAAAGTTTCTCGATGAAATTTTCTGACTTGATCTTCTCTTCCTGATCGCTGACTTCTTTTCTGCGTTAGGAGTCTACAGAAGCCATCACCATTCAAAGCCTCTCTGGTAAGTGTGTTCTCTCTCTCTCTCTCTCTCTCTTTTTTTTTTTTTCCGGAGTGATGACAAATAGAGTCGCACCATCGATGAATGTGTGCCTGCGTAGAGTTGCTTGCTAACGCACCTATTATCACAGAAATACATGGTTCTTCTGACCGACGTCTTGTTGCTTTTCTTTTCTAATGCACTATCCAGTGTTCATGTGGCTGACTGATTTTCCAGCTCGTTCATTGACAGATACCTACTTCAACATTCCGCCCTTCAAGCCAATCATCTCAGTGAGTATTCTTTTCTCTTTTTTTCCACAACTATGGCATGATGACAACCAAAAGCACGACATCAAAATGAGTGCAGGAAGGGGACTCTGACCATAAATTTTCTCAATGACATTTGCTAGACTTGAACTTCAAGTTACCGTTTGCTGACTACTTCTCTTCGATAGGGCGCATGGAATTGAGGTGGTGGAAACATCTAGAATAGATATTGCAAAAGAACTTTCAAAACAACTTTCTTCTTGTGCCTCCATCTCGTGTGACATTTGCCCTAGAATTGTAGAGAGAAGTTCTACCCCTGTGTGTATCCATAAGAGCAGAAATATGGCTGGTCTGCATTGTATTCAAAAGAAAAATATTCTCTGGCAGAATTTTGTCTGGAAATTCAACCTTGCTTCGAAGTTCAGCCTCGTCTTCGATATTCAGCCTTGCCCCCGATATCGACAGTGAAAGTCATCTCTGATTTGGACGCAAAACTTTGTTCCAGTGTAGATTCTCGATTTCATATTGTATTCATATAGGACCACAGCAAATAATTAATAAAGGTAATGCATAAGTTTTCCAAAATTCGTTTGAGCAGCAGAACAAAATTGACAGTCCCTACTATTCGCGCGTGAAAGTGAAGACGAGCGAGCAATAGGTCGCGATCTCTCAGCCTCCGACAACATGGCAGAATTTGTCCGCCCGATCAACGCTAATATCCCGCAGTTACTACTCAAAGTGAATTGTGTCAAGCAAATTCTGATCTCGAACTATGGTGCTACCGCTCGTAATGCGACTTCGCATGGACAATACGCAAACGGCGTCGCCGCCGTAAGATTCTATCACAGACAGGCAACGAATATGACTTTGGCGGAACAAGACGGATATATCAAGAACCTCGACAGGAGAAGACTCCTTGCAAATACAGCTCGTAGAGCTGCGAGCCCCCGGCGGCAACCCCCCTCCCAGAGAGCCCAGCACGACCACCGAAGATGGGACCAGGCCCCCTAGAGACCGCTTGCCGAGCGATGAGCACATGCGGCTTTTGTGGACTTGCAACGGATAGTTCGTCATCTATCAGAGCACCTTGACCAAGCCCTCTAATCACCGCGCATATCGCAATAATGTCTACCCTTACTCGTGGGCCAAGTAGGTTCTGCTCAATGCGCTCTACCCAGGTAACAAGTTCAACAAACATCGCGATTAGGCCAGAAGTAAATTCGGCAACCATGTCGTCTCCGACTTCAGTACTGGCGGTATGCTCAAACAAACTACGCAAGCGAAAAGCATGCTTGGGAAAAGGCAATGTGGAGGAGCGAAGGGAGAATTATCTTGGACCGCGAGAGACAGTTATGGGACGGAACATGAGAATGACAGCAATGCTTCTTTCGTGATAGCAAAATGCTTTGACTATGGTCGATAGATGCTCTCAACTTCGATGTCAGAGCTAATGGATAAAATTTCATGCTTCCAAAGACCCAAATTGCATCGAGAAACGAGCATCCAAGGCCGCAAACCAGGAGCTCAACGGTACAAAAGGAGAGGAGGGAGTTACGGGTGCGTTTAGTCACAAAGGAAAGAAAGCAGTCACGATATTATGTTAAGCAGATTGTATTAAATCAACTGCATAAAATCCCGTTCCCAGATCCGAATCCCCCCCCCCCCCCCCCAAAAAAAACATTTAGCAAACACTCAATCGCAGATTGATGCTGGGGTTACCAGCAGCGAAAGAGAGTATCCTCCATCCCAAACTCGCGTTACTCGCAGTCAACATAGCTAACCACAACCTGGCAGAAGAGATAGAGCAAGATTGCTCCAGAGACGCACTGGAACCAGGTTCCATGCGGTAACATGATGCAGACGATGATGACGCTGATGAAGGAGCATACAATGAACAAAGAAGCCCACATCTCGGTATCGGTGGGTGGGTTGTTACGCATGCCGTTGCGGTAGTACTCGAGCTCCGCGGTGCGATTGTAGAATCTCATTGTTGACGAAGAGGTGCTTTGGTAGAACTGGAAACAAATCTAGGTTTGAAACGAGTTAGTTTCCAAGGCTTCAAAGACGAGATGGGGATGCACAAACCTTGAGTTGTCGTCCCTAAGGAGCGTAGGAGCAGGTCTTTGGGTTTAGAAATATCGCGAGAATGCTTGGTAGACGACGCGGACGTTCTTTTTCGGCTCAGCGAAGCGAACAGTCTTGGTCTTCTTGCTGATGGTGGAAGGATTAGCTAGAAGGAATCGAGAAGCCAGAGTAAAAGCTCGAAAAGAAGCACGAGGATGTTGATAAGCCAGATGAAAAGCATGTTAAGAAAGAGGATGAAGAGTCTGCCCAGAAGGGAGAAGAACATATCAAGATGGAAGAGATATGTTTTGACGAGGGAGAGTGGGATTCCTCAACTTCCTCACACCAAGATTCTCCAAAAGAGAAGGGAAAAAACAAGAGCAAGAAGGGGCACAGAAACGCAAAAAGGAGTAAAATTAGAAAGAAAAAGCACGGTAGGGATGAGAGCAGACACACCTCTTGCGCTTGGGAGTGCGGCGGAAAGGTTGAAAGCGGTTCTTGAGAAACTCGTAGAACTTGAAGAATTCGGGGAACCCGAGCTTGATGCAAAGAAGAATAAAAAGCATGACCACTCGCATTGTCAAGTCGCGTTGAGTTAAGTTAAGGGGGGAAATGTTGACCTGCGCATGATGGACTGCGTGGGTGGAAGTACGGCCAGCTGGCAGCGGGCAGTTTTGTCTCCCCTCTCACTTTGACGGCCTACTTCTTGCCAGGGCTTCAGTTTTATAGAGAAACCCAACCCTGACCCGGGGAGAGAAATCAGTTGCAAAAAAAGTCAATGTAGATTTCGTGCTATGCTGTATAATCCTCAATAGGTTGCATATCCTGACGGCATCTTCAGAATTTTGATGTTCAGCATGTTAAGTGCCACCCCAAAGCGACAAAAAGTCCACAACGCCAAATCCAACAGTAGAATAGATACATTTTGAGGCTCTGTGCCAGTCTCTTTTTCCTCCTCTGTCTGTCTCTTCCCTTTTTATACACCACACTTTGCTTTTCCTCCTCTTGCCTTCCCTTGCTAAATCATATAATAGAATGGTTTACCAGCCACGGCCGGCAAGCTTCTCCTCGGGCTTCATGGCATCGCAGTTGATGCCAACCATGGCCTCACCAAGTCCGGTGCTGCACTCAGCAAGGACCTTGGGGTCACGGAAGTGAGTGACGGCGCGGACAATGGCCTTGGCTCGCTTGGCAGGGTCGCCAGACTTGAAGATACCGCTACCGACGAAGACACCGTCACAGCCAAGTTGCATCATGAGAGCAGCATCAGCAGGCGTAGCAACACCACCGGCGGCGAAGTTGACGACGGGGAGACGGCCCAGCTCAGCAGTCTGGCGCAGCAGCTCGACGTCAACCTCGAGCTTACGAGCAAGCTCACGAAGACGAACAATACCGCCCTCGGCAAGAGCAGCCTTTGCCTGGGCAATGTCCCTGTTGACAGTCTTCATGTGGCGGACGGCCTCGACAACGTCACCGGTGCCGGCCTCGCCCTTGGTTCGGATCATGGCAGCGCCCTCGGCAATACGGCGCAGGGCCTCGCCCAGGTTACGGCAGCCGCAGACAAAGGGCACGCCAAAGGGGCTCTTCTCGACGTGGCTCTCGTCGTCGGCGGGCGTCAGGACCTCGGACTCGTCAATGTAGTCGACGCCCAGGGCCTCGAGGATCTGGCACTCGACGAAGTGGCCGATGCGAGCCTTGGCCATGACGGGGATGGTGACGGCGTCCTGGATCTCCTTGATCATGGCAGGGTCGGACATGCGGGCGACGCCGCCGTCCTTGCGGATATCGGCGGGGACTCGCTCGAGGGCCATGACGGCGCAGGCACCAGCTTCTTCGGCGATGCGGGCCTGCTCGGCGTTGGTGACGTCCATGATGACGCCGCCCTTGAGCATCTGGGCGAGACCGGCCTTGAGGGCGAAGGTGGTCGCGGGGGCGGCAGCAGAGCCGTTGGTAGAGGCGTCGTTGGTCATGGTGATGGTGATGATGGTATTTGGAGGGGTAAGTTTGGAGAGAACCTGGAGGGGTAGAAGAGGATGATGGTTAGTACAACAAGACTTTAAGGAGTACTTCAGAGAGTCTCATGGGTATAGGATTTGCACAAACAAGTAGAGTTGTCCCAAGGGTATCAAGGAATCGAATTGAGTGGTTTGCAAGTCTGGACAAGAAGTTCTGTGTTCAGGTTGGCGATGCCTTCGATATATGAGGGGCAATCCGGGAACTGGCGGCAGTGGGGCAACAAGGAACAAAAAAGTTGAGTCAATTTATTCAACTAGCAGTCACCAAAGTACTCCGTATAATCTTACGGAGCAGCCAAGAAAAAAAAATTACGAATATTACAAAGTACCTCGCCTTAGAACCTTTGGCTCTTACTTACAAACTTAGTAGCGTTCCTAGTAGGTACACACGGAGTACATCGGCACATGCTTCTCGCTACCAGGCCCGTCGACACTAGCAGATGCATGGCGGAGGCGGGCGCCGCGCATTCCTTTGCGGAGCAAGCGAAAACGGAGCCGGGATGGGGATTTTTTGCGACTCTTTTTTTGCTGGAGATGCCGCATGTGCAATCTTGGATGCCGGCCGTAGCCTTGGGACAGACATGCAGCGAAGCGGGGGAAGGAGACGAGGCAGAGAGCAGAGGTGAAGATGATGAAAGTAAACGGTTATGTACAGGGGTGGGACAAATGCATGTAGTTGGCTGGGCGTGGCGGCAAGCATCGGGAAATCAAAAAGTACATGCAGTTCTTTTGTTGTATGGATGGGTTGAAAGTCAATACTCATCTCTCGTTAGAATGTAGGCTGAGTGATCGTACAGAGATCAGTAGTCGAACATGTCATCGGAGGGCGAAACCACCAAGACATACAACACAGATGGCAACAGTCTCCCGCTTGCAGAGCCATCACGTAACAGGCGGGCCATCTATTAACCACCACATCATCAAAGGCCGTCTAGAAGCCTGTCCCAGTGCCGTCAGAGCCTCTAGCGGCACGCCATTGAACCCCCCGAGATCTCAGTTGCTGGTCATAAATCCAAGATGGCCGGAACAGCGCAGGCTTGACTGGAACAGGCCATTCAACTTTGATTCCGGACCACCGGTCACCTTGGGCTTGACGCGGTGCAGCTGGGGCTTGGCCTCTTTGGGCGACTCCGGGGCGCCTCATGCAGGTCGATGCGGCGCCAAAGGGGGACCCGTTGCCCTACTGTAGCACATTTGCAGCTTGCAGGTGCTTGCGAGCCTTTTGATTTGCATCTTTCATCTCCGGAGTTGCAGCTCATGTAAGTACATCTCGGGTCATACGAGGCGGAGGCCAACTCGAAACTCTTTTTATTCATACTCGTATTATCAAGCAGACGCAACGACATGTCGAAATCAGGAAATCCCGCCTGGAAGAGCCCCGAAACATCCCGATGGCGGAGCAGCACAAGCAAAGCAGAACCCCATCATACATGTACCGGCGCCCTTTAGACGAAGACAAGATGCAGAGCTAGCGAGGGGAGTGACATGGCGTGTCATATTATCGATCCCAGGCCATGCATGAGTCCAGTCTTCCGGCGGTTTCGATGCTACAGTAGGGGCCTATCCACTGCCATTCTTCTTTCAACGACATGTATGTACTTGATGTGTACTGCACAAAAGGCACCGCTGCTTGCCGTCGATAGCCCGCCCTCACTGATTAGCCAATTGATACCCGTGGGATGCTAGATTCAGAACATGTGCAACTCATGACCACAGGTATTGCTTATTTCGACTTAGACTGAGCCACATGCTTGTAATTTCTCTTCAAGTAACAACTAGACTACATGTACCGGCAATCTGTGTTCTACTGTGCATGAATACAAAGGCGGTACTTTGACCCAAAGACCTGGGGTTCACGCCACCATCTTTGTCACCCCGCCACCACCAAAAAATTCATTCGCCAGTCCGGCTACCGGCGCCTTGTCTTATCATTATCAGTCCCTCAACCTCACAAGTCAATGTCAGCCGGGCGATAAAAAGATACTTGCAACAAGCAACTCTTAAAAATCAACTTTCACATGCATGCATAACACCCTTCACCTCCCCTATCGTCCTTATTATTAGCTTCATCTTCCTCTCCCGAAAATGATGGCCCTCACAGTTGGCGTCTTGGCCCTTCAAGGTGGCTTCGCTGAGCACATTGAGCTGCTCAACAGGGCTGCCGCGGGTATTGTATCCGAAGATTTCACGTTTAAAGCTATCGAGGTGCGCACCGTCCAGGAACTCGCCAGATGCGATGCCCTGGTGATCCCCGGTGGTGAGAGCACTACCATCTCCTTTGTTGCTCAGCAGTCAGGCTTGTTGGAGCCATTGCGTGATTTCGTAAAGTAAGACTGTCCTTGCACTATTGTCAAAACTTCTTATACTATATCATACTAACCAAAGAAACTAGAGTCCAGAAGAAACCTGTCTGGGGAACATGCGCCGGCCTCATCCTCCTCTGCGACGAAGCCAACGGCACCAAAAAGGGCGGCCAGGCCCTCATCGGCGGTCTCAGCGTCCGCGTCCACCGCAACCACTTTGGCCGCCAGATGGAGAGCTTCGCTACCCCCGTCGACCTGCCCTTCCTTTCTGGCGAAGGCAGCAGCAACCCTGACCAATTCCCCGGCATCTTCATCCGCGCCCCCGTGGTGGAGGAGGTGCTTCCCCACGGCGACGGGCCGGAGGTTGAAGTCTTGGCTAGACTTGCGAACCGAGTCGAAAGGGCAAAGGCTGGTCTTTCGCTTGCTGTTACGAAGGGTGATGCTGGGGATATCATTGCGGTTCGTCAGGGCTCGATTATGGGGACGAGCTTTCATCCGGAATTGACGAATGATGCGCGGATCCATTCGTGGTGGTTGAAGCAGGTTATTAGTGGTTTGTGAGCGGAGCATTATGGTGGCACTCTGTTTTTGTTTATTTTGTTTTTCCTCGTATTCAGAGTTGTATTTTAGTAGAGAGATCAAGCCTGGCTTTTGGATAGACGCATAATTACGGTAGAATACGGCGTTCAAGAAGACATGAATAAAGAGATGATATAACACGCTATGCTGATCCAATTTTAATAAAATATGTACGCTTGACCAAACCGAATGAAAATATTCCTTTGATTCCAATTTATTGTTTAGTTCTTCATCGCGGTGTCGTAGTTTGGAGGGTCTCCCTCGATGGGAGCCGGCATCCCCAGTGCCTCGTAGACCTCAGCCCTGGCCAATGCCCTCGCAACATCTTGCACCTCTTGCCCATTTACATCAGCTCCAGCTTCCCGGAGCAGACGTACCATATCCAAATCCTGTTTCACAAGTGCCTGTACCACCGGCTTGACACCGTTGTCTCCGACGCTGTAATTTGGATCTGCTCCGTAGTGGAGGAGCGCCTCGGTGAGATCTTTTCGCCCGTGGTCGATGGCATACTTGAGCAGAGAATCGCCGTTTTGCATCGTCGCCGTCGTCTTGGCTCCGTTCTGTAGCATGAGGGAGATGATTTCTGATATACCAGCTTCCACGGCATAGCAGATTGCGGGAGTCTTGCTGAAGCAGTCTTTCACGTCTGCCTTGGCCCCCTTGGCGAAGAGTTGGCGGACCATGTCGATCTTGTCCTCGGCGGCTATCTTGGAGCTCTTAATGACGATAAGCAAGACTGGCTGCGAGTGCCAGTCCTTGGTGTTGGGATCTGCGCCCCAGTCAAGAAGCAGCTTGGCCGTCTTGAGCCGCCTGTTGTTAATCTCATCTACCAGCAATGGCATGCCCGAGAGATTCTTGGCGCTGGGCTTTGCGCCCTTTTTAAGAAGCAGCTCTGCCATTTCATAATCCTTCTTGTCGAGAGCCACGGCTAGAAGATTGCGGCCGGAGACGTCGGTGGACTTGATTTTTGCTCCGAATTCGAAAAGCAGCTCCACGAGGGCCATCTGCTTCTTCCGTACGGCATTTGCAATGACGGCTTCGCCGCTTATGTTCTTTGTATTTGCGCTGCAGCCCTGCTCTAGGAGGAACCGGATGCCGTCCAAGTTGCCGGACAAAACAACATCGACAAAGTAATACTGGCCAGACGTGCTCTTTTCGTCGATGCTCGCTCCTCTACCAAGAAACATCTTGGCTGAATTGATGTTGCCTACCGAGGCTGCGAGAAACAGCGGCGGCATGCCCGACCACCCGGAGCCAGAAGTGCTCGCTCCCGACGCCAGAAGCAGACGGGCGGCGTCTTCTTGGTCAGCCAAGATGGCGCACTGCAGGGCATTCTTGCCGTTCTCGTTGCGGCCGTTGATGTTGGCGCCTTGGGTGAGGAAGCCAGCGATTTGCTGGATGTCGCCAATGGAGGCGGCTTGGCACAGAGCAGAGACAAAAGGGCCAGGCTGTGGGACAAGCGTATTGGCTATCGCCTTGAACGAGTTCCTGAATACTGAGCCCCATGAGATTCCGGAGGGCTGAGGACTTGAGGACGGTGCCTCAGCTTGAGCTTCGGTTGCGGGTTCAGCTTCGGCTTCGACTTGAGGGGAGTATGGAGGTGGTTCAGCAGATTCGTCTTCTTCTTCTTCATGGGCATCCTTTGGTGCATTTGAAGTGCTGTTGCTTCCAGATGCTTGTGATTCTCCTACGTCTAGTAAGATGTTCTTTTGCCCTGCTGATGTTTCGGATACAGTCTCTACCACGACTATGAGGTCGTTTGACTTTAATCGTGAGAACCTGTCTTCCTGCTCGACTTTGTCGTCTCTGTCAAAAGGTCAGCTCAAAGCACACTCACTTGTGGCATTGCGAGATTCAGCCTACGTTTGGACAACATCGACCATGGATTCCAAAAGACTGATATTCGCCTTGATCGTTTGATAATACACCACCAAGAAGTCAATATTGATTCTCTCAACATTGTCCGACTGCAGCCGCATCAATTGCTTGTGCAGCACCGTCATTGTCCCATCGCAGCTAGTCAAAAGGTCCTTGAACCCATCCTGCACCAGTATAGCCACCGTCGAGGCGACGAGGCAATTCTCCAATTTCGTAGTCCATTGACTGAGCTCTTGCAGCGCGCTGGCCAACGACGACAGCAGCTGTGAAACGTTTTGCCGGCTTGAGTCCAGTCCCCCAACTAGAGATTGGATTTCAGAGGCACCAGAGATTGCCCGCTGCGATATCCCTGAGCATAGCGTTGTGAGGGAGCTGATTGAGCGGCCGTCCATGATGCCGTATTGCGGCCGAGTGCTGTGTTTTTCCGTCGTCGCGGGGTTGTACTAAAGAGGAAAGGAGGCCTCTTGTGAAGCGTCTTTGGTTGCCGTCTTTACTCTCTTTTCTGTGTGTATCCGGCTCTCGGGATGTCGATTTCCTTCACTGATCACGGTGGAAAAATATGCAAAGAGGCTTCAAACAGTGTAGATCTCAGTCAATTCGGTTGTATCTTCTTTCTTCTGCTTCTATCTCTATGGAAATTGTAGAGAGCCGTTGCTTTTATCGCATCTTTCGGGCGCGGCTGAAGTGGGCTCGGCCTCGTAGGCGATGACGCAGCCTGTCCTGTGTTTGCGTAACTGCGCCCAGGGTCGAGTTTTTCTCTCTAGCCAATACTGGCCCGCAATCACAATCAACGTGTAGGATTCTGTCAGCACATGTCCATCTTATCATACGGGCTGCCCGTTTTCAATTGTTTTTGGGTGTACCAACGGGCAGAGATTCTGTCAATTGAATGTGAACTCATACAGTAGAGGGGGCTAGGGTTTGGTTTGGTTTGGTGGAGTTGAGTCTTGAATCTGTCTACCTTAGTCAAGGCAAACGGGCCAGGATCGTCGAAGCGGCATAATCGCCAATGCAAGCACTCTGTAGCTTATTAGATATCCTTTCGAAACGGCGCCTTCTCTTGCTAGGTTTGTTGGAAGAATATTTCTATGCTTAACCGCCGTAGACCGGCTTGGCATGAATTGGCTCTTCTCTTCCCGGCCCGCTACGCATGGCCGGGACACAGCCACTCTGTTTCATTGCTTTCATAGTGTCAAACAACCTCACAGTTAATTCCCGCCGCCCTTACCCTACCATCGAGCTCAGCCCTTCACAGCCACACTTGTTATTCCGATACTCGTATTTCGCAACGTGGATATCTGGGGAGAAGAGAAATACTACCTGTGTCTATTTATAGTCAATACATGGGGATTGCCTAGGGTAGCAAATACCCAATTAGGTAAAAACTGTACTACTAGGTAGTAATGCATGTCAAGAGGCTATCACGGCTCAACTTCTGGTTTCTCTGCGTCCTGGAAGCGAGATTGGTGGTTCTTATTTGGCCGTGTAGTCTCCTAGGCATTCGGAGCGACAGCCGAACAATTTGTCTTCTGTGCTCCGTAAGCAATGTATTTTCCTCTTCGAGTATGTGTCGTATCCTCGTTTTGGAATATTGAACCATTTGTGATAGTTTCCAGGTTGTTGATTTTTATTGAGTTCCAGGTTAGAACAGCTACAGTGGGGGTCGTCGGTTAGAAGATCAGTAATCATCCTGGTAGGATCCCTTGCTTGTGCGTTGGAAAAACATGAGAAATTGAGATAGTATGATGATTGAGATATTTCGCTAAATTTACAGCTATCCGAGAAGCTCTTGTTGATATTTGTGGTTGGTTTTGTAAAGTGTTTGTGTTGCTGTATATACCCAGATGAAATCCAAATGAACCTAGCAAGATAATCCTTCAAAATTACTACCTATATGTATCCAAAATTCCATTACCACATCTCCAACGTGCATCCAATAAAAATCCATTCTCTATTTTTCATCCTTAACATCTTTCCACATGTCCTCGATCGTCTTTTTCTCCTCGAATAAATCACAGCCTCCCTCTCCCCACTTGTGCCTAAAGAGCTTTCGCCCATCCTCTGCCATTTCCCACCAAGCAACCTGGAAACCCTTGGGATCATACGTCCATGGCTCTCCCTTTCCTCCCTTTTGCATGTTCTGCCAGGTATTGCGGCCCTTGGAGTCGCTCATCTTAGCATCTTGGATTTTCTGGAGCTCCTCTCTTAGAGCCTGGAACCGCGCAGAGCCCGGTGCGTTGTCTTCAGAGGTGTGGTTGGCAGAGTCGCTATCCTTTTCAGACTTTGGCTGAACAGCCGGCGGGAAGAATCTTGCTTCAGGGTCGTCTACGAAGTTGTTGACATCCCATATGTGACCTGCGTGAACCCCGTCAATTTGATAGCCCAGCATCTTGACGCGTCCGTAGGCATCGCAGTCCGTAGCGTAGTAAGGAATAAACACGTCCCACTGGCCAATGTGTCGCCATGCCTCGACGTTGATCAGAGTCAGATAGTCGAAGTTGAAAAACTTGGCCGCCCACTTTTTGCCTGAGATTCGTCCTTTCTCCGCTTCATCGAGGACATTGAGGACGCGTGTGTAAAACGATGTGTAGGGCGTCTCTTCTTCGTGGCTCAGGATGCCGACATCCATGTGACTCCAGAAGAAGTATGGCCAGTGGCGAGACATAGCTACCCTTAGCATGAAGTTTTGGATCTGAGCAAAATTCAGAAGCACAGATGTTTGTAAAATCGAAACGCCATATCTGTATCGAAACAAATCGTAGTCGAGGAAAAAGGGGTTATCTGGTGAAAGGAGCTTCAGGTTGTTGGCATCAGCTGTGCCGCTGTTGTCGATGATGATAATGTCTTCTCTTGGCCATCCACTGGCAATGTATCCAAGAATTGTCTGTCGCATCATGCCATTGTTCCTCGTAAAAGGAACAAAGAGCGGCGTCTTTGGTCGGTGACGGGGAGGCTCGTTGTACGACGCGACAAGGGGGAAGAAGTTGTTTCCCTCTGCAGGAAAGTACATTGCAAAGTCAAAAGACGACTGACCCAACACGGGCGTGGTTTCGGATTCAGTGTTTGATGATGCCCACATTGGGACCACGGACGAGGAGTATGATGTTTGTGGACGGGCGAGGTTTTTGAGGTGAGAAGGGTCGAAGAACTTGACCAAGAGAATCGTACCAGTGATCATTGCTATAAAGAGGAAGATCATCTTGAAGTTTAGACGAAACCTTGATTTGGACGGACGTCCCAAATTTTCCTCGTCGCCATCTTCATCTTCGGTAGGGAAACGATGGAGTCGGAGAGATTCGGCGTGCGCAGCAATCCAGCCTGGCCTGCGGGCGAAATTTGGAAATTTCGAAAAGAAAGCGCTAAGAGCCGAAAGCAAGCCCATCTGAAAAACTTTTAAGAAAGACAAACAAGATATTATAAAAGGAGTAGTTTCAACTTTTCGATTGGAAGAAACGAAGGGAAGAGTAGGTACTGAAGCAAAGGAGAGAGAGTGTGATGATGAGACGAAAAAATGCAAAAGCTTTTTCAGAACTGTGAACCCATTTATCACCTTAAAATTTGTTAGTACCACTTTTGAACCTATCGTATGAGACTTTGCAAAAATAGAGTACGAATCCGCTTTTCGGTTTTATCTCCTGGAAGCAACAGTATTCCGTTGACTCGTATTGAAGGGGACCAACGTGGGTAACATGGTTAGAAGCGGGCACGATTCGCCTCCTGGCATGCAGCTCACAGTAACTCCTGGGAGTGACATGTAACCTAGCCTAGTTTGTAATTATCCCGTATGATCCCGTTTGATGCCAAATTGTGGCTTAGACTATGCTTGAAGAGAGTGGTTGGACTGGATATGCTACTGCGGGTGCCGACCACCATGCCGGGCGGATATGTAAATTAACTCATATATTATTGGATAGTCTTTTAAGGAGAGCATCATGAGACATAGTTGAAAGAAACTATCATGCAAGCATATATCTGAGTCTCTTGTCCCACATTCTTTCAACATGGACGATTGTTCCCCCGAAGAGGAAAACTGGAGCCGGGGCCGCGATTTCTGACACACATCGTCAATGATGATCTGTCAAGCGACGATTCCGCCGTGCCATGTCCAGAAGTCATTGTCATGATAACCCCCCGGTTGATCCGTGACCGGCTAGTCAGTTGCTCCTACGCTCCGTAGTTTAGGACTTTTAGGTCTGTAGTTTAAAATTTCTCGACATAGACGGGTTGATAACACTGGTAGTAAAGTTGTCTATGAGGCTCTTTACCTAGACGCCCTGGAAGACCCAAATTTACCCTTTTACCTCGCCTTGATCATTAATCATTTTTTCCCAAGGGAGATTCCTAGTCGGTGTAGGCGCGGTAAGGCTTGATATGACCTAGCTGGAGTCACGATGGGTTGTGTATTACGTAGGCCTGCTCGATGAAGAATAGGGCGAGTCATTTGTTTGGTTACATGGGTAACACAAGCTTTGTCATATTCTCAAAGGAGTTTGTTTGAGATTCGGGAACCCAGCTTCATTCGTTGTACAGTGAACTGCGACGAATCACAGGCCACGCCGTTTAACATCCACATCACTCCGTACCGTATAATGGCAAATCATATTGTGTAATTATGAGTGCGGCAGGTAATACGGAGTCAGAGTAGCACTATCGGACGAGTCGTTCGTGTCTCTTTAGCCGCGCAACGTCGTCCGTCGCGCAATCTTTCCGACGTGATACGGAACAAATTGGCTCTGCATGTGCAAGAGCTTCTCCTTTTGGTCTTACACTCCAGATAGTGGATGGCATCCCCACGCTTTCAGTCTCCCCATAGACTTGGCTTGGCACAGCAGGGGACGTCATCTGGCTGTGCAGAATACGAGACCACGGCCCCATATCTCGTCAATTTTAAGCTAGAGTTGCTGTTTCATCTGCCCAGTGGCCTAAAAGCGTAAGAACCCAAAAATTTACTGTCCAATGGTTGCAGTTGGCTTCAAACAAACACCGCCTTCTTAACAAGACGCAGATGCAGATGCAGAGCCGCTGCTGAAGCCGATACGAATCCGAGATGCAGACATGCATTCGATGGCCCGGCCTGCGGGTTTGGAGTAAGCCCGACATCAGCCCAAACAGCTCAGATGGACAGTGGTGAATTAATTTTCCGGCATTCAGCTGGGATCACGACTTGACGCTATCCACATCGGCACTTTTCTTCCCATTTGGAGGCTCATGCGCTTGCCACCCATTCTCGGGCATTAGCTTCATCCACTCTTCTGAAACAAACGTCCAGTCCCTCTTTCTAGCGTCTGAGCTTCTCTCGAACCGTTAACAGCGGCAATGCCAGCCTGATGACGATGAGTGTTTTCTGAAAGCCACCGCCTGATGCTTGGGAATGCGGGATACTTCTCCGTCAAAAGAGCTCTTGCGCTTGGCCCATTCATGTTGATGTCGGCGATGGTACGTTTCGACTGTTGGTCAATTGGTCAATAGCATATCACGTCTCACGTTTATACTGTCGTATTGACGTGAACAACAGTCGTTTTGGGGCCCTGAGCCAGGAGGTTGGTATCTTCTATGAGCCGGTTTTAAGTACTGGAGCAACAGCGAGGCAATTGTCTTCGGCGGATTCTTCTCCGGGCCCTGCTTCGGTTCCGTATCCGCAAGCTGCATATTTTCAAGCTTAGGGCTCCTAGCTAACCTTGAAACTAATGAGGTTAGGTGCTCTCGGTCCGACTTCCCGACATTTCCTTTTGTGCCAGAAAAGAAGACGTCAATACTAATAAGCGAAGGCAAAGGCAGAGTTTCGACCCGGTTTTTTGTTCTAGCCCGCCCATCTCCACACGACCGGGTCGCATCTCATGGCTAAAGAAAGAAACAGCCACTCCACATTCTGGCCAACTGGAAGCTGAGTACCCCGAACGTTGGAAGGGGATGTTTAGCTGCAGGACCCCTCTGCGATAGCAGGGCGCGTTAAACAGCCAATGGCCAGTCGTCTGCAGCATGACGCCCTCTAGTTTGGCTAAACAGCCCTGTCGGATCTTTCGTATTTTTGCAAGGGGTACGTAATCCTCTTGATACACTAAGGATATCGTTAACATTCCCTTTTGCAGGACGGAGCAATAGTCTGCGAGTTGATGAAGTTTTTCACGCCATGAATACTACCATGTCAATTGCTGATTGTGCAATAGTTCTTGAAGAGGGTCAGCCTACAGTCAACATCTCAACGTGCTGGCTTAGTGATGCTATGATCTGGATATGTAATGTAACCATTCTATTTTCGGGTCAGCATATGAGACGATGAGTGGCAGTTCAGGGGGGATTGCCTCCACGGCAGTGTTGGATGGAGGATGAATGATGAAGCGATTACGGCTGCTGACAGATCAAGTAGTGTGGTGGGTGGCTGCTAATAGATTCGAAGATAGTTACCATTCACTTTCCTCTAGCCAATTATACACAAAGAAGTTGTGGGTTTGCGGGCGAACTATTCATTCAGCTCTACTTGCAACCCAATTGTTAGATACTCCCCTATGTCCTTCTTTCATTTCATCCAAATATACTGGAATTGCCATTGTCTGTCAAATTGTCTTGCCAATGGCCTTGTCATAGAGCACTAGAGTTAAGAGAAAGGAATTGGACAGAGGGCATTTACTTTCAAGGGGAGTTTTCCTCAAATGTAAGTTGGTCCAGCTTTAACTCCTTCATTTGCACGAAAAGAAGGATGGTAGGTTCTCGGGCAATAACTTAGGTAGCAGGAACTAAGACCGATGACCGATGTGAGATACTTGCTAACGATGGACTTTTCTGCAGATGTAATACATGATGATAGCGATGAAACAAACAAATGCTACTACATGCAAAAACAACAAACCATACTCAAACGACTACCACAAGCAGCAAGACCATGATAGCAGCTACGAACAATGATCAAGACAAAAGATTGGCGATAAGACGAACAGTCTGGCATCACTTTCACGAGTGTTAAATCAAGCGGATGTAGGCTTCATCTCTACTACCAGAGTTCACGACGTCACAGCCCCATCGAGGCACGCCAATACAACATTACTATGACGAATTCTGCGATTTTACCGAAGAGCCACGAAGATTGCACACTAAAAAAGGTTCTGACTGGATAGGAGTTTTATGTGCTGCCAGTGCTACGAACTTCATAGTTTGCTAGTAGGGCAAGTATGTGGCGACAATATGCGATCCATGAATGAGACTATTAGGTATGCAATAATATGACGATCCAAACACAATTCCAGGTTGCTAACGGAGCAGTAACATTCAGAATCATCCAAGAAGAGCCACCAGCTGTCCGAAAAAGCTCAAGGTCACATACTATAGTCAAGATAGGGGGGCAGTTTGGAGAGAGGAGGATGTTGGTAGCAATGGAAGTGATATATGCTGGGACTTGCTTCTGACATTCAGTCCATAGTACATCTGTACCTACCATTGGTTCAATGGTAACAGGTGCCTTGGAGGTCAGGTGTTTGGATTGATGTGATTAGATAAGGGTTGGGGTGGCTCTGAAGCAGTTGCGATAAGCTGCCGAAATTTGGGCAAGTTGACCCAAAGCTTCCCCCCCACGGAACATTGGAATTTTCCTTCTACACAACACAACAAGTTCCCTCGTTACCGAGAGCCTTCTTCCTACGGAAGGCAGTCCGATTTTCTTCCACCTGCTGAGGTACGTTTTTTTACTTACTTTCAACTCACTTCTCGCAGCCGCCTCGTCGAGGCGTAGCTACATTGGTAGCATCAGCAGAAATTCTTACTCATTCTTTCGTCCACAGGGCACAGCTCTCCCATCGTTTCTCGAGCATCGATCGTTTGTTAGGATTTACCACCGGAGCCGAGGCTTCGCTTTCGTATCAATATCGTCACGTTCTTCCGTTCTCAACTTCGACCAGTTCGCCTATTGCGTAAACTCAGACTTGACATCATGTTTGGGGACCTGTGAGTAATTTCTGAGGGAACTGAGGCCTCAGTCTATCAGATATCCATTTTTACCAGACTTTCTCTCCCATACTGATACACCATTGTTCACCAGGTCGATCAAGGTCAAAGGGGCCGACTGTGGCGTCGATGCCATTTTCCTTGCCATCATCACGTCGATCGGCGGCTTCCTTTTCGGCTACGACATTGGTCAGATCTCTGGCACCATTGTTTTCGACGACTTTGTCCATCGGTTCCTCACTAATGGCTCGCCCACGATCAAGTCTCTTCTGGTCTCTTTCTTCAGCATTGGCTGCCTCTTTGGCGCGCTGGCCGGCGCGTAGTAAGCCAACTCCATCTCTGTTGCTTTTTTTTCCCTTGCCTTTTTTTTTTTTTTTTTTTTTTAAATTTTTTAAATTTTTGCGAGACATATAGCTGACCAGCATTCAAACATAGCACGTCAGATTGGTTGGGACGACGAAAGAGCATCGCCTTGGGGGTGTTCATTTTCATCTTGGGAGATGCCATGCAAGTTACGGCAACGCGTAGCTGGATCCATCTCACCATGGGCAGATTTGTTGCTGGCCTCGGTATCGGAAACCTTTCTGTTGGCGTTCCCATGTTCCAATCCGAGTGCGCTCCGCGGGAAATTCGTGGAGCCGTAGTCGCTTCATACCAGCTCCTCATTACCATTGGTATTCTCTTCGGCAACGTCGTCTGCTATTTTATGCGCCGCCATCAGGAGGACAGCGAAACATGGCGTCTGGTCATCGGCATAGGGGCCTTGTACTCCATTCCTCTTGGGGTTGGCATTTTCTTTGTGCCAGAATCACCGAGATGGCTTGCTGGCAGGGGTAAATAGGAAAAAGCCCGCCAATCGCTGTCACGACTTCGCGGCAAGAGCAAGGATCCAAGCAATGTCCTCGTTGAGAACGACATGCACGAGATGAGGGAGGTTTTGGCATTGGAACGCCAGACTGGCAATGCTTCGTGGATTGAGTGCTTCTCGCTCAAATCAAGGGTTCCCAAGACGCGCTACCGCACTTTTCTCGGTATGGGCCTTCACTTTCTACAACAGTGGACGGGCATCAACTACTTCTTCTATTACGGCACTACCATCTTCTCCACTGCTCACATCAAGGATCCATTCCTTGTGCAACTCATTCTCGGCGCCGTCAATGTTGCCACTACGTTTCTCGCCGTTTATTTAGTTGACAAGTTTGGCCGTCGATGGCCTCTAATCCTCGGCGCCATTTGGCAAGCTGTGTGGTTGATGATTTTTGCCTCCATTAGCACCGCGACCAATCATCTCTCCACAGTGTCGAGCACCTATGGCGTCGTCATGGTTCTGTCATCTTGCATGTTCATTGCTTCGTTTGCGGCAACCTGGGGTCCCATTGCCTGGGTTGTCATGGGCGAGACATTTGCTCTACGCACGCGTGCAAAACAGGCCTCGTTGGCCACAGCAGCCAACTGGCTGGGCAATTGTAAGATTCCCTCTCTCACAAAGCATCACAGATACTAGACAGAAGCGACTGACAGTCATTGCAGTTTTGATCGGATTCCTCACTCCACACGCCGATAGAGGCTTGTCATACGCGTTTGGGTACATCCTAGCCAGCGCCAACCTCGCCGCTGCCGCCGTAGTTTGGATGTACTTGTACGAGTCCTCGCTGCTCAGCCTGGAGAGCGTGGACATCATGTACAGTATGCACGACATTGTGCCATGGGAGAGCGCCCGCTGGGTGCCACCCGGATACGTCACACGCCGGGTACGAGACGAGCAGCGTTTCCGCAGATTGAGCATTCAAGAAATGGTGGAGATGGCCAACAAGGATGCCAGCGTCAAATCCGACGAGAACGTTGGCCAAAGTAGCCAGGTTTGATGATGAGGCTAGAGGTGAGGTTAGAGATCGGGGTGAGCCATGTATCGCAACCTACGCCTTGCTGTTGCTTGCACTTTGCATTACTGTTTGCAGTTGGTAGTACTACAAGTAGTCATTACGGAATAATGATTAGGAATTAGGCATTAAGTATCACCTGTCAATTTTAGTACAGGCGTTGATATCTAAAAAGACCATGAAGATGAATTAGGTTGATCCTTTTCCCAAGGACACTATCTCATATTATGTAAATGTGTTCTAATGCTATAATTCGAAAATTATAAACAAATTGATATCATTACCGCTTTATGCCAGTGCTTGTTATAACCAAGAGTGAGGTTGCCCGCTATCTATTACAAATGTTTCCCAAATGATGCTCATAAAAAATCAAGATGCCATGTTTACCGTTTTTTTTTATCCCTTCTCTTTCTTATTTCTTTACACTGATTCTTCCGACTTCACCTTTTCGGTAGAAGCGGATGCTTCTGTGTGCTCGCCGGCTTCTTCTCGCTTGTGGCCAGCATGATGTTTCTCATCGTTGCTCTTCTCCCCGCTCTCATCACCAGCCATGGTGCTGGCACCCGAATCGGACTCTGTATCTTCCGACTCGCCCTCGTTGGGGTCCTCGAGGACGACACCACCCGCGGGGGCGGCCTCGACGTCCTTTGCGGGGGGCTTGAAACCTTTGGGGTTGAAGCGGCTGCGGGCGCGGATCTTGGCGCCGTACTTGTAGAACATGAAGGGGATGATGGCGAGGACGGCGGCGACACCGCCGACGAGGGAGCCGCCGCCGCCGACGCCCATGGAGTGGAACATTTGGACGGTGAAGAGCGGTGCGGCGGCGCCGCAGGCGGAGCGCATGATTGTGTTTGCGGCGATGGCGGAGGCGGCGTACATGAGGTAGGCGTCGACGAGGTAGTTGAGGAAGCCGACGAAGAGGAGGAGGAGGGCGGTGGAGAGGAAGGATCCGGCGATGGTGGGGACGATCCAGTGGACGGAGCTGTAAGTAAGGATTTGTTAGTTTATCGTTCATTTTCATGTTGATGGGTATGAATGCGTAGGAGAGAAGAGGGAGGTACATACTTGAAGTTGGCTGACCAAGCGAACCAGAACATGGCCACTGCAAAGGTGATGCCGCCGATGATGGCAAGGGGGAGACGATCCTCGGGCGTCATCTCGTGCATTTGCTTCTTGCCGGTGTCAACTTTCTTCTGCTGACGGCGTGTATCAAAGAGAACAATGAGACCGCCCAACATGGCACCCAAAACTGTGCCAATCAAAGGAAGCTCGCCAACTCCTGCGTTCCAGCCACGCTTCTCCTGGAAAACGATGGGGTAAATGGTGAAGAGCATGTAGAGGAGGGTGTAGACGACCGAGAGGTAGATGGCGATGAGGAAGGAGATTGTGTCGAAAAGGATGATCCATGGGCGAGTGAGGGCAACCTTGTAGACGCTGATGAAGCTTTGGTTACTGTCTTCGATCTGGGCCTTGACGTTCTCATAACCGGGAATCTTGGCCTTGCGGATGCGCTTGGCCTTGTGGCGCAGAACAGTCGGTGCATGGGTCTCGGGAATGGTCAGCATGAAGAGGGCAGAGGCACCGCCAAGCATGAGGAGGACGTAAAAGGTCCATTGCCAATCCTTCTTGAGCTGGAGGAAACCAGCGATGATGGGACCGAGGGAGGGTCCAATCCAGAGCATGGCAGCGAAGCCGCCCATGGCGTTTGCACGCTGAATAGGGTTCCATAGATCGGCCAAGACACCGGGGCCGTTACTTAGGGGTGCAGAGACAAAAGTGCCTGTGAGGAAACGACCAACGAGGAGACTGCCAAAGTTGGGCGCAAAGGCACAGAGGAAGTTAAAGGCCAAGTAGAGGCTGAAGGTGCTATAGAAGATCCAGCGACGGCCGTACAGCTCACTCAGGGGGGCGAAGATGAGAGGACCGGCACAGTATCCAAGCAAGAAGAGAGTAATGGTCAGGCCAGCGGCCTCCTCGGAGACGTGGAAGGATTCCGCGATGGACGGGAAGCAGCCGCTGGGGGCGCTGGAAGCAAAAGTGGCGTTCATGACGAGGAAGACGGTCGCGGCGGTGATGAAGAACCGCCGGGCCATGGACCAGTTTCTGGGGTTCTCGACATCTCCGGGGGCAAAGTCGACGTAGCCATGTTCGTTTAAGAAGGGAGGCTCGTTGGAGTGAAGGTCCTTCGTGCGATACGGCTTGTTAACCGGTCGCGACAGAATGCGGGTGATGGCACCCATGGTGGATAGACGGTGGCGGCAACTAAGATTCTTATTTCCACCACGCTTCCTTGGGATCTGGAGTTCTCGTAGTTGATGAAAAGGGGTCCTGTTTGGAACGTATTGATTACTGGGTTAACGAGGATATCCTGGACTCATGTATCATTTCGCCTCTGAGTTGTACTTGAAAGTTGTACGTTGTAAAGAATCACACCAAGAGAGCTTCTTCCTTGTCCCCCTTGTTCTTTCTTCAAAATCCTGGACGTTCGATATATCGATCACTGTTCGTTCCCGAAGCTCGTCAAGATGGAGAGGGCGGCAGTTCTGCTCCGGTTTACCACGAGGTGAAAGGATGCCAGGGTGAAATGGGCACGACTGAGCGCCACAGCCGTTATTTAACAAAGAGGCCGGAGAGATAATTAATCATTTCTTTTTTTCCTTCTCCCACGTTGTTGACGCTCTAGTAGGTACTAGTCGCTCCATCCTTCGCGCGTCGGGTTTAAGGGCCCCCGGCCGCGGGCTAAGAAGCTGCTGGCAGTAAGTTGTACAGTTCGGATATAAGACGACGGAGTCGGCACTGGGTCACCGGCGGCTCCGTTTTCCCAATTCGTTGCTGTTGCGATTTCCCAATAGGTTGCTGTTATGGAGCGTGGGCTGAAAGGATGGATACCGTGGAGGGCCAAGGATGGGTCTTCTGTCCGGTGGTATCATGGAGAAGGGATAAGAAAAGATGATAGATAATTTGTCTTTGACCGGGATGCTGTACAGTTCATGACATGTCGAATGCTCCGAACCAGGTGGTTTGTTTGCTCTCTAGAGTGCGTCTTCCAGCTGAAGACACGAGGCTGCCAGGGAGTGCAGTGTCGTACTACCATCCATGCGAACAACAAGAGGCCTGCAAACCTGGCAGCCTGGTACTGTAGCAGTGCAGATGGATGGGTTGCCACCTGATGATTCCACACACTGTAGGATTTGCGCCATGGTGCCGAGCGACCGAAGAGCCGCCCAGTTTTGCGCGGTGCGTCTGCCGACAAACTGCATGCTGATCCGTGCCAAGTTCTAGACACCACCAATTGCTCCATTCGTCGTGTGGTGGGACTCTTCATTGTCTGTGCCCAAGCCGAGCTCTGAATCGGAGATAGAAATCTGCGCCTCATTGCTTCTACCCGCGTGTTGCTCCTCTCTGGCGAGCACTCCTAATGGACGGCGTTCTTTGCTGGCCGAGATCCGCCCGCTTGTTGGATTTGGGTTTTCTGCCGAGGAAGCATCTTGTTCTTTGACAGGTCGTTCTCCGTATCTGCTTTAGCACCCCAGCCAGATGCGAATCTTGGTGTCACGACAAGATCTCGTTGAGATCTCGCCTAGTGCCATGGTTGAGGCACATCTGTGCCGTCTACTGTTTTCTTCGCTTGTATCTCGCCTCCTTTGTTTTGTCAAGGATGGACAGATACGCAGATAGCGTATAGCAGTCGAATGATGTCGTTTGTTTAATTCCGACGCTCCACACCCCTTTAGTGGTGCTCCGTGTGATAATGCCTTCTCCCGCTGATCGAGCCATTCCATTAGGCTGCTGGTCTTGTCCACCGGATGACTCCCACAACCTCCGATTATTCAGCAAAAACTTTGCTGATTTCAAATGTCAAATGGGATATTCGCACAATTCATCTGGAGCGATCGGGCATCTGCATCCTGCTCGGTTTCTCGCTCTCCGAGGAAGTACGAGCAGGATCCAGCTGGGCTTTTGCCTCCATGGACGCGGTGACAGCATCAGGTTCTGCAAGGGGCTCGGTTCATGATTAGGCGCCGCGCCGGTCAGCGGAACGCACTCGGCACGTAATAACGTTTAATCGAGCTACTGTACGCCCTCCGTATCGTATTTTCGTCTCCAGCTGATGAATAAGAAAACGGCGAGGTGCTGGCAAGGAATGCGTGGGTGGCGCTGGGCTGGTGATGCGGCCTGCCCACTTGAGACAAAGTCGCACCGGGGATAATCTTAAACGGTGGATTCTGGCACTTCGGCTGGGCTGTTGTTCCGACACGTGCGACCAAGACCAAGAAACTCTTGGCACGAGTTAGTTAGTTTAGCAGCTGGTTAATTAGGGCATCTTCAAGCATCTGGTGGTGTAGTTGAGTTAGTTGAGATGTCTCGGGCGCCCCTCGTATTTCGACGGGTTATTACCTAAGCAATGGAAACTGTCTACATACGGCATCACATGCTACTCTGCTACCGACAGTGCGGTGCGATATGCAACCAGGCATTGATTACATACATGTACTTCAGGTGAATACAGTGCAGTATCTACGGGGACTCGCTCGCCGATGCCTGTTCAATTCCATGGCACCCCGACGTTATAACTTACAGGGTCTCTCCTCGCCCCATCACTGACTGCCCTGCTGTTTCCATGGAATGGATGCCTATTACCTATTAATACCCACTGCATGGAGTCCATCCATACCTAGTAATCACAAAACTGCGAGTGACCCCGCCGCTATCAGTTGACGAGGCATCGCCATTCTGCTACTAAAATACGAAGCGTCCTATCCGGAGACTTTTGCGCCATCCCCCATCCCACCGGGTCTTCCAAGCTAATCAAGCATGCTGACAAAACATGTCAACATAATCGATTTCTGACGGACAATCAACGCCGTGGCTACTCCATGGCGCTTCCTCGCATAGCACAACTCTGGACACTTTATACACAGTAATGGTGCAATTTCATTCCCCGCCATTTAACCGATCTCGTCGATTAGCCGTGCTTGTTCGGATTTTACTTTTGAGTCAGACTGATCAATGTCAATGACACTGCCGGCCCTACGCCCTTCTAGTTACATTTCATACCTTTAGTCCACACGTGAATCCGGAACACTAGCCGCTCGGTTCACCTCTCGTAGATTTTTAGTATTATGCCCAAAAAAGGGAGATTTTTTCTTTTGAAGTCCCACGGCGATTAAAGTTGGGTTAATTAGTCTGGTGACCCTTGCGGCTGACTGTTTGTCTGCGTGATGATGATGATGTAAGGATGTTGCAGCTGTTGCTTATTCTCGATTGGGAATCTTGGTCAGAAGCGTAGATCTCGCCGTACCCTGCACGCGGAAACCACATGCAGTGATACATCATTGATGTTAGATATTGTCCATTCCCCTATTAGTTCCCAAATATGTTGCAAACATGTAATTGGTTTGATCTCGGCCTCTTTCAAAACATGCGCCGATTCCAGTTCTGGTTTTGTCGATTCTCATAGTACATGTGTCCATAAAGATTTTGATAGGAAAGCCGGTTGAAGCCGATTCACGCAAAGCAATCAATACAACTGCTCAACTTCATTGACTCTAGTTGCGCTATCAAGTCGAATAGCTCGATTTAGATGATGCACATAAGCTCATCAACAACTAGAGCGATCTGGAATATTTGTATGTGGTACGGCGGACTATCCTCCATAGCTAGCTCCGGGACTTCGTCCGCTGCTTACCACATCAACAGCCCATCATCAACCATTAAAAGGGGGCAATGGGAGGAAAAAGAGGATATCGACAGACAAACTAGGTCTGACTCATGGACACTTGCGGATAATCCCCCAGAAGCCATTCGGCCGAAGCACCTAAATTTGTTCCAAGGATATTTGGAATCGCACCACAAGGCTATCCGTGGGCCTTCCAAATGGCCATCACCGTGCCAGCCTTGTCGTAGGTGGAAACTGTATCGAGCGCTACGGTAAGCGCTTGATGTTTTTGTGACCAAGTAACTGCATATGGTGTGGTTCTGTTTCTCCAATTCGTCAAAGCTCCTCGGAAAAACTCAGATAGAGCTTATTGGAAGTTATGCCAAGCTCGTTCTTTAAGCGACTCAAGCGACTATAGTTCAGCCACTCAGATACTTCCAGTTGTCAGCAACCATGATTAGCAGAGCAGCAGCCCTATGTTCTAGATATAAATACTACCCGTAGTTGATTGAGGAAGCTTCCTTGTAGTTTCCAAACATCTTCAGTTCCCTTCATTCGATCAACCAAACACTATTGAAACAACCGTCACCATGCCTCTTCATCTCGACTTGATCAGCACCCTCAAGGACATGTTTGGGCGGATTGACAACGCCAGACCGTGTATGTTCGAATTCATTCTAGCAAGCAGAATCTTATCTAATAGCAATACCTTTTCATATAGCCCATGCTAGAGGTGTCTTCGTTACAGGCTCCTTTACTCCAACCGATGAGGCCAAGGAATGGTCAATTGCGCCTCACTTCAGTTCTCCTTCAACCCCAGTCATAGCTAGATTCTCTCTCTTTACTGGTATCCCGAATATACCGGCAACTGACCCCAACGCAAATCCTCATGGACTCGCTGTTCGATTCTTGATTGGAGATGATGTCAAGACCGACATCATCTGCCAATCTTCAACCGTATTCCCTGCAAATACGGGAGAGGGTGTTCTTGCATTCTTCAGCAATTACAGAGATGGCACTGTAGAAGAATATGCCAAGGACCATCCCGAAGCTCTCCCTTTCATGCAAGAGGATCGGAAATTCCCAAAGAATTTTGGTACCCAGTCATTCTACTCCATCAACGCTTTCAAGTTCATCAACGCTGCTGGTAAAAGTGTCTTCATACGATATCGCTGGGTTCCGTTGTCGGGGAGGCAGTTTCTGACGCAGAGTGAGCTTGAGGCCAAGGGGCCGAACTTTCTCTTCGATGAGCTACCTGGTGTCTTTGCTCAAGGACCGATTAGCTTCAAGCTGGTAGCGCAGGTGGCTGGGGAAGGTGACATTACCGATAACTGCAACGAAATATGGCCAGAGGACCGTCAGTTGGTCGAGCTTGGTATGCTCACCCTGACCAAGGTTACCGATAAGGAAGCTCTTCCTCCTCAGAAGAACAGCATCGTCTATAATGCCATGCCTGGTGTGCCAGGTATTGAGCCATCGGATGATCCTGTGCTAGCGGCCCGCGCACGGGTATACCCAACAAGTGGAGAGACTCGCCGGGCAGCTGAGCCCGAAAATTAGTCACATGTTCGTAAGGAAGTGTTGAGCGTTGACTTACAATGAGTGGATGAAAGGAAATGAATTCACAGAAGTGAGATCTCTGCGGGAAAAACATGTTAATATCAGGTACCACAACTCTTGTTAGCTGTTATAAAAAGAGATTTAGAGCCACACCACTGGACTGTGACTATTATTCGTGACGACTGCACACACCATGTTTAGTTTTGAAATGATGAAAAATGATAGGATATAGATGATATGAGTCTGTCTAGTGCAGCGTATTCTGCCTGCCTTCTGAGCTTGATAGATGGTTGGGAATTCTTGTGTAGTTGTTCTTTGGCCTGCCCTGTTATAGTCTTTTTATCTACCTACTCATTACATTAGCGAGGAAGCGAAATGTCCTGTGCGACATTGCCTCTCAAATCCCTGTTTGTACTTGGGAAATATCAGAAACATACCTCACTGGTGATTCTACTTCGGTAGATCAAGTAGAAGGTCTATTGAGAGTCTCAGTGAATGTCAGTGTATGTAAGCATGTACGTAAACGTAAACAGGAAACTTGCAGATGCTAAGCGGCAAACAGCCTGTCTTTTGTTCAAATCACGGGGATAATCCAACTCTAACCAGGTAGTTATATCCAATACCTTTAAACCCTTGAGGCATAGATGGTAGAATTGGGGTAAAAGTCACGAAATTAGCGACTGTGGTGGCGGGCGGATCAGGAGACAACTTACCGGTGGATATGCCCGTAGGCGCCACCATCCACCACTTCCGTACCTCTTGGTTGTTGAAAAAGCTTCGATTCTATGTGCTTTGGCTTCGAGAAGCGGTCGATGGAAAACTTGTCTGCTGTTGTGAGTAGTTGGACAATGAATAGACGTGGGTACAACTTGCCAGAGTATATGCCCGTAGGCGCCACCATCCTCCGCTTCCGCTCCGCTTATTCTTGCGTTTTCGATTCTCTTATTCTCTCTTCGATCGTTTTCGACGGTTGCTTGGGTATGTCGGAGGGGAACTTTCGTGGTGCTGTATCTTTTTCTACTTTGTTTCTCGGATCGGATTGGTCGGTCGCTATGTCTACTCGCGTTTTCGAACTGTGTCGATGAACAGTTGGCTGGTCTCAAAGTATCGTCGATCGTCCGATTTGCCTAGTAAAAGAACAAAAGTTAGCAAGTGTACATAGAAGAACACGGCCTGTGAGAAGTCAGCAGATTGCCATTGTAAAAGGACATGGTGACTTAGCTGAATGAAGACACGCCCCGTCGAGTATGTAAACTATGAAAAGTCAGTAATCAATCTTTCTTTGGTCTGTTTGGACAGGGAGACTTAGAATTGGTCTGAAGAAAAGGCTGTGCCCGCCCGCCCGCCCACGTGAAGTAGAGGAGATTGCTATAAAGAATCAGTCGCTGATAAATACAGAGAAGGGAGTGGAAGATAAAGAATTGAATTTTGTGTAAAAGATAGCGCGGGTGCGCTTGTAGACTTGAGAGCGGCTGAGAAGCATGCGAAAGAAGGCTATGAGGTATCAGCTGCTCATGTTGGTTATTTGGATTGAGAAAGGGGATACTCAGCCATGTCAAGATGGCGATGATACGTGAGACACCGGCGATAGAAAGAGAGTCGAGCCACTTCTGTTGACAATGGCATGTGCTACGTATCGTGTACATGGAGACAACTTTTGTGTCCTAGAGAGAATTAGCCAGAAACATGGAGAGAGAAGAGGGAGAATTCAGCTCTTGGAATGGTGTTGCAATGGAACATGAATATTGGTAAGCTTTGAATGTTTTCGAGATAAAGAATTCTTTCTATCAAAATAGTTAGCTGTGTGACGGCAGAGGGACAGAGGGACAAAGGGGGAAATATGGCTCATTGGATGATTTGCCGCCGCTGTCATAAATGATTAGTAGGGAACAAAGAAAACAAACAGCTATCTGGAAGCGAAAATTTACTTGCATGACGAGGATCACGCTGAATGAGACTTTCATCTTGCTATAGGAGCAGCGAAAGCAAGCGAAATCGCAATGGATCTTCAAGGTCTTTTCCTGTCCATAGACAATGTGATTAGGCTTGTTCACGAGAGTATTGGGGTAAGAGACACTTAGCAGCAGAGCAAAATGAGGCAAAGTCAATCAAAAATCTATAGCGAGTTATTATCTGAACAAATCAAGCAAGTAGAGGGACTTAACCGATGCAAAAAGCAGAAGATTGTGCGACGGGGAGTGAGATCGATTGAGGAAAATCAGAGAAACCTATAGAATGTTATGATCTGCAGGCAAATAAGAAGAGTTGACTTAGTTCTAAGAGATCTGTAACGACACAGGAATGCCAGCTCGGTAGTGACCGCTGAGGGTACATTTTCTCTTGTTTCGTCGGGTAAGAATCGTGCTTAGGTAGCAAATATCGTCAAGGCTAAACTCTGGTGTCACTACAAAGAAGCTAAGGATACTGGGATAAAGATAGAGAATACTTGACGAAAAGATTCAAATTTGGAATAGTGGCTAAAAAGAATGGGAAAATGATTCTCTGCATTGAGCGAGGGAGAGATGAAAGTATCCTAGAGTATCAGCAACACCAGCAGACATTCTAGAAAAAGGCAGGGAGAGGAAAGGGAGAATAGAAAAACGACTTATTTGAAGAAAGGCTTGAATCTTGACCAAATGGCAGCGTGGGTGGTTGGTGGCTGATGCAGCTTTGCTTGTAGGTCGAGATGATGTTGAGAAGAAAGGGTTTTGTTTGTGCGAGTGGAAGATTTGTGGGTTTTATATGTGCCAAACAAACAGAGGGCCAGCAGCCTACGTCCATTGTTTCAGCTGCTCTATGGATTTAAGTCAGCTGCATGAAATCAAAGTTTAAAAAGAATCCAAGAATAAAAAAGAGAATGCAAGACAATAGAATAGGTAAAGCAGGTATACAATTGCTGAGGTATACATACCAAACTATAACAAGTCAATATCTTGGTTCTTGAGTTTAATCTACTATTGCTGTTAGTTACAAAGCAATTTGATTCTGATTTCAAAAGGATTGTGATTCACTGATTCCTACAGACAGACCTCTGAGCTATTGACCCACTGGGCCCCCTCCCCCCTTTGAAATGTAAACTGGCAGCCAGCTGTTTGCTCAATCACTTCGTTATCACTTTTCCCACTTGTTTTTAACTACTGAGGTGCAGATTCTTTTTTCTTCTATTCTAGTCTTCCTTTTTTAGAAATTCTACTCCCACCTTTCCCAAGTTCCACACCAAGATTCGTCAACTCAGCTTGCCCTTCCTCAACTCTTGAGGCTTTCCATTCTATACTTCACATCATCCTAGATTCTATCTAGAGTACTGCAACATCTACTCGCCTCAATATTTTAGGTAGGATCCAGCTGAACAGAAAACTCCCCAGTACGCATAGTAACCCCGAAAATTAGCAGTTCTTTCTCTCAAGATCAAACGCTCATTAGCAGACTTTCGTCAACAAACACCTGTTTATCAATAAGAAGATACTTCTGGTCACGGTCATTATGTCTGATCTTCGAGAAGAAGAGACTCCTGTCGGCAGCAACGTGTCTGATCACCAAGAACCGACTTCTACTCCCTCTTTGGCGTCCGGTTCTCATCATAAAGTGCCCCCCGCAGTCTCATCTATGCTCAGCACTCAAGAGCAGGGTAGTTCTACCTTGAACAATCTCCTTGATAACCAGGATGAAATCACTTCTGCCATGGAACTACTTGAGCTAGACTCTCTCACGCCCACCATTACTGTTGTCGAAGCTCTTCTTTTGTCTGAGCTGAAAATTTCCGTCAAAAACATCATCGAGGCACTCCAACTCATCGAAGCACTGGTAGACCATGTGTCATCTAACCAGACTCCTCCCTTCCTCAAGGTCATCAACCACAATGTCGACACAAATGCCTTCGCCAAACCCTCAAAGGGCAAGAAGGGATCCAGCTCTGCTGGTCGAGATGATTCTCCCGAGAAGATCACTCCCCACGCTGCATGTGCTCGATGCCAACATGATCATGCCGTCAGCGAGCCTGCTTTAACTCTCCGATCTTGCCTCAACTGCGAAGCTGTGGAATACTGCAGCGTGGAATGCCAGCTCACAGACTGGATGGCCCACAGAAATCTGTTTTGTGTCAACCCAAGCGCCCTTCCTCTCAACACTCTGGCAAAGCCTCACCGTGTGCCGTTTCTCAAGACACACATCACCAACCCGTTTGCGCGCCTTGCAAAGGGCATCTGGCTGCACGATCGCCACAAACAAGACGTGTATGCCCTCCTCATCGACTCCTTCCGGCTCCGAGAGGCCGACGACTTCAACTACGGCGGCATGACGAACAACGACAGCGTTTACAGCGGTCGTGTGAGTTCTTGCCCGGCGTTTCGTCGCTTCTTGTACCAAGCCGAAGCCAAGGGCTTGATGCCCCCTTGGTGGTCTGACCAGAAGCGTGTCGAGTGCCTTACCAAGGGCATCGACAAACGCCAGGACAACTACCACGACCTCCACGCCATGACCCGGGACATTGAGATTGTGGTTGTGTACGAAGATGCCATCATGACGATGCAACTTCGGATGTTTGCAGAGTCGGTTTTGGGAAAGGGAGCGGCGGGATCGGATGGGCGGCTGATGCTGCAGAAGATGGTGGTGGCGGAGGAGTCGGCGCGAGTTTTGTCGAAGTAGTTTGTTCTTGGTTTCTTTTCTTTTTCTTTTGTTTGTACTATCTTATTTTTGTAGAGTAGTTTAATTTCCGTAGTAAGCTTGCTCTTGTGTTCTAAGTGTCGCAGCTCAAGTGACTTGCATTGTATACTTTACTTGACTTCGTGCTTTTAAAATAATTCCTCTGCAACTCACTTGTGACCAAGATTCACGTATAATTACTACCTAAATTATACCTCCGTCCACAACTGAATGGAGTCATTCCCTATCATCAAGTTTATTATAACATTTCTCCCCGCTCATTGTTGCATCTTCATCGACAAGTCCAAACGTCCTCCATTTTCATCAAACATCAGCCCGACCGTATTACGCATGGCTGTCTATATAATTGGAATAATATACTTTATGCTTTTAGCAAGAGTGAGTTTTGCCTACCTGTCTGGTTGCTCCATTGACCTTTTCGGTAGTGTTAATGGGCTGCGCCCAGTCGTCCAACATGTCCTCAAGCGCTCCGTTTTTGGACCATTGCTATTATCTCGGGATTTCCTCCTGTTCCGTCCATCGGATCGTCGATTTATCCTCCCGGCATTCATCAACCCACTTCCCAATTTGTTCGTTTTTCGTCATGCCTGCGAAGACTCTCAACAGCAGCTTCATGTCCGCTGGAAGCACCACGACCATTTCCTCCGCCAATTCCTCCCCGAGCTGTTTGTGCTTTTCCTCCGTCCAATGCCTGCTCGCGGCCGTCGTAATCAGGTCTCCCATCTTCCCAACGACGGTGTCTCTGTCCAGTGATCGTTCCACTGTTTTCATCGTCGGTGGCTCTGGGGTTGGGGATAGGTATGCCGCACACGTTCTAGCCAACGGCTACAATCTCTCCAAACAACTTCTCCCTCTTCATCGCAAAACTAGAGACCACAACAACTGCCCCAGATACAATAACCAAGATGAATGGAGTCTGCATTGCTTCCGTGATGGCAAGAATGACTTTCATCCTCACGCTATCACTTAGATGTTCGAATAATGTACTCTGAGCTCCGGCAATAACGGCGCGAATCTGTCCATCTGAGAAACCTTGGCCGTCCAACACTTCTGAAACATTGCGTACAGCGGCAGACTCGAAGACGAGAACAGCAATGATAAGAGCAATGGTTGTGCCGCCCATCTGGCTCACATTCTGCATACTGAGCGACTTGGCGACATCTTCCGGCGTGACTTTTAACGTAGCCACTGCGTATCCTATCTGCATCGTCAAGCCTGTACCTACGGCAAGCACAACACTAATGCCGTAAATGCTAGCCGTGGGTGTTTCGGGCTTCAAGTATACATATAACAGCGATCCTCCCACTGTAATAATTATTCCTGATACCAAATACATTGGCATATAGTATTTGAGTTTGGCGAGTAGATAGCCGCTCGCAAGATTGAAGGCAACAGCCACAAGAAGGAAGGGAAGAAGGCGAACCGCCGCTTTCAGCGCTGTGTCGTTTTGAACGAACTGAAAGTAGATGGGAATGAAGTAAGTCGGTATGTAAAGGGCCGAATAAGATGCCGCAGAGCAGACGGCGGTAAGAATCTGCGACCTGGATCGAAGTAAATGGACGGGAAATGAACGGGTCTCCGGCGTGGTGATGATACAATAATATTGCTGCACCATATACAATATAGTGAGCAATCCAAAAACGATAATTGTGGCAATGGTGCGCCCATCTTGCCATCTCCAGGCACCACCGGCGAAGACAAAGGCCAACGAGAACGCCACCACAATCCGCTACTGAGTGCGCTTCCAACGTAGTCGATGCTCTTTATTCGATCCCGGAGTGAGATTCCTCGAACGGGATGAACATTGGGGAGACTGAATATGTAGATAGGAGCAGTCGCTGCTCCGATGACAAGATTGATGTAAAACCCCCAGCGCCATGTGGCCTTTGAGACAGAAAAGAGGCCGCCGATAACAGGACCTAAGCAGGCACCAACGCCCCATACAAATCCGATGCCGTTAATATAGGTTCCCCGTTCTTCACGAGTGGCAAATACAGAGATGTGGTTCATAACGCCAAGGTATAATCCCGTCCCGCCCATTCCAGCGATAACACGTCCAACGATGAGAACGTTCATAGATGGTGCGGCGCCACAGAGTACAGAGCCCAACTCGAAGAGGACAACTCCTGCGATGTAAAGATACTTCAAGGAGAACATGCTGTAAAGTGCTCCGTATGGTAAGATGACTGCCACGGAGCCCAGAGTAAATCCGGCACCAAGCCACGCAAGCTGTGAAATATCTTCGAATGTCTCAATAACCGCGCTCTGAACGTCGGCTGCGATGGTGGTATCAAGCCCGTATAGTAGAGCAGTGGCGTATAAAGCCGAATATAGAAGAAACCATCTGATGCCAGTAATCTTTCTGACATTATCGTGAGTTGCCGTTTTATCACCATGATTGTGAGGCTCTAATGCCAGCGTATCTTCTGCGGAAGAAGGCTGCGGTCGTCCGCCTTGCTCAATCTGCGCTTCTTTTTGCTGCCGAGCTGATTGGATCTCATATTGCTCTGATCCTGATGATGCTGTGATTGTTGGAGATTTCTCCATTGGAGGAGAATAAAAGTCGGAGTCTTGTGCCATTGATATCTAGGCAATATGTTTATGTAGAGTCGAGTGTAAGGAAGAAAACTATAAGAGGCACGTATATGATAATAAATGGTATGTAGAGTTTGGATTGTCAGAATTACTGGCTACTAATCTGCCAGTGCTGATGTGTGTATTAAGACGACTTCAAAAGTAGGCAAAGCGCCTCTTTTAAGTGGTTTGATCGCATCAACACCGCGCTCGGCTGAAGCCAATCAATTTTACATTCTTATATTGTAAACAAGCCAAAAACGTTTATTTCGACCGCTTCTCTCTATCTCTGCTAATCACTTTGTTCTGATGTAGAACACGGATCGGCTATAACGCCGCTTTAGCCGCAATGCAAGAAGTCAAAGCGGGAATCGTAGCTATATAAATTACCAAATAAGGATATTCTCTAATAAGTATATTAAAGTGTAAGGGGTGATTTTAATTCACTAATTACTTGATAAAGAAGCTGACAAAGGTAATGGCCAAACTGAAGCATCGTTCTTTGGAGCGGGAAGGGGTGGATTTCCCTTTTGGTGACTGCGTCTGGCCCTATTTACTCTAAACGGCAAACCAACCCGCATGAAAGAAGATCTTTGTGTAGGTTCTTTTTGAGGTGCAATTCCTACTCCCATGGAAACCTTTTGGCGAATGCGAAGTTAATCAAATTTGTACTGCACTTGGGTCAGCTTAATTTGTCTACTATTACGCAGCTTCATAGTTTGCTGGGCTCAACTGATGGGAGCAACACCAACCTTGCTATAAGGTCACAACGAAATGATGGAACTTGAGAAACACTTCGATTATATGATTTGTGTGACATGGTACTTGCTCTGCTGGATGCTAAAGAATTTGGAGAGACATGGTGCGTCTTTTTGTGTGAATACCCTCTCTCTCGCCTTTACTCTTACATTCTGCCCAGTGTGTCGTACGATTGACTATGTGCTGCAAAGGAAATATTATCACTTGAGTACGAAATGATGTACTCACGTCGTATTTTACGTCTGCGTAACCCAAAAATTGCCAGAGTGCGAGGACATGCCGTCAAGTTGCGGCTGGTGGCATATGCAAGAAGCAATAGAAGAGTCATTCACATCTTATTCTTATGACAAACGGACTGACCGACGATACAAAGACGTATTAACTTGCAATTTGTACAAGATTGCATTACCTGGATCATGATTGCGGAGCCGAACCTTTGAGCAACGGGCAGCGGAACTATGCACCTGAGGTTCACAGCATGAAGTTATGCTCCATACATACTACTTGTGTATTTCTTCCATGACTCATTTAACAGTGCCAAAAAAAAAAGTTGTTGGTTGAGCTTTGAAGCTTGGGATTAATCCTGTAGAAAATTGTCGACCCATTGAATCAAGGTTGAAGATTAATGCAGGTACTGATTTCATGCATACTTGAGCATTGTGAGGATTCCAGCATCTCGTTCTTGTAACTTTACAAACAGATTGGATTTGTACCGCATGATGCAGTTTAGCGTAGGCCCTTCGATTGTGGAATCACAGGCGTTTTGAGGTTGCTTCTCTGTGACCCCCTCTTATAAGACTGGAAAAATATGGTGTCTCACCACGGGAATAGCTTCTATTTCCGGCCATTCCACCTACAAGCTAGAGCTATCCGTCCGCCAATCACCCCCGCAGGCTACGCCTCACGGATCCCGCCTGAAAGCACCTCTATTCCTTGTTCGCAGATAAGTTGACGGCACGAATTGTCGGAACAGGGAGCCGATCCCACTAAACGGCGGTGCTAGTCCCGCAGGCAGTTTATCCATTCAATCACATTCAGCATCCGCAATCCCAGTCAATGCGCTACTGTTTGAACAAGAGACGGGCCAGAAGCACGTTAAAAGGATCCGCCATTGCGAGATAAGAGCTTGGCCGACATCGCGACCCTTATCCACCAGCATATGCGATGTCTTTATCTCAAGACTGTAGGCGAATGAGGAGCATTTGGAGTAGATTCTATATTGAGAGAACGTCCATGACAGCATATGGTCTATGTAACATGAGAAGTGAGAAATAATAATTCAAGTCTTATTTAGTTCTCACCTATTCCGTAAGTTGAGTACAAGTCGAATCGCTTGCCTCTTGCATCGCTCTGTGTCTCCAATTATTCAGAAACAGGCAAGGTACTTTTTTCCCCGACCCCAATTCGTCCTACACTAAGACGTAATATGCAAGGGGCCTAGCTGTAGTGGCGGGGATGTGCAGCTCGGTTTGGAGCTCTTCGGAGCACTGATAAACCGAGCTCGATCCCGTTTCCTCTTCACCACTTTCTTCTCTCTTCCGTCCCTGTTCTTGATTCGAAGCCAGCGAATCACTGGCTGTTGATTCGCATCTTCACTATGGCAATGGCTAAGCTGTCTATGCTCCTGGCCGGAGCCGCTGGTGTTTCCGCCTACATCGCGGCCCCAGCTGGAGGCTACGGCCAAGCGCCGCTCGGCTCCATCACGCCCTCCAAGTATCAGTGCGATTTGCCTCCGGTTCTGGATCCGACAGGTGACGGATTGCCTTCTGCCGACGAGCTTTTTTCTTCCAAATCGGCACGCGACCAGCAGATCAAGCGTCTTCAGGCCATTGTCCAAGTTCCATCCGTCTCTTACGACGACCTGCGCGACGTCGGTCAAGATGAGCGCTGGACGCCCTTTTACAAACTTCACGATGTCTTGAAAGAGACATTCCCCGTCGTGTGAGCATGGTCTACTCTTAGTCGCATTCTAACCAAAGTTCTAACAGCCAGCAGGCACAAGCGGGCCAAATTGGAGAAAGTCAACACTCTCGGCCTTCTTTACACTATCAAGGGTTCAGACGAGTCCCTCAAGCCGGTGCTATTGATGGCCCACCAAGATGTTGTCCCCGTTGCTGACCCATCGACGTGGACTTACCCTCCCTTCGATGCCGTGTATGATGGCGAGTACATCTGGGGACGAGGAGTTTCAGACGACAAGAACAGTCTCACAGCGGTCTTGTCAGCATTTGAGTCACTGTTATCTAACAGCGACTGGGAACCGAAGCGCACGTTTGTGCTCGCCTTTGGATTCGACGAGGAGTGCTCTGGCTTCCGCGGCGCCGGCAAGATTGCACCCCTCCTGAAGGAGCGGTACGGCAAGGACAGCTTCGCTGCTATCCTGGATGAGGGAGGCCTTGGCTTGCAGGAAGTTGGCAACACCCTCTATGTTCTCCCAGCGGTGTCGGAGAAGGGCCACATCGACATTTTCTTCGAGCTGGACGTTGTCGGCGGCCACAGCTCCATTCCTTTCCCTCACACGGGCATTGGTATCATTGCTGAAATCATCACCGAGCTCGAGTCGCATCCGTTCAAGGCCAGCCTGATTGAGGATGGCCCGGTGCACAACCACCTTAAATGCCAAGCGCGCTACTCACCTGAAGCCTACCCTGACCTTACCAAGCTGGTTCAGCGGGGTGATTTGGAAGGCATCACGCATTTCCTGGTCAGGGCGGGCCGAAACACCCAGTACATTGTTCAGACCTCACAGGCTGTCGATGTGATCAACGGTGGACAAAAGATGAACGCCATGCCAGAGAAGACCGTTCTTGGCGTCAACTACCGAGTTGCCCACCAAAACAGCCTTGCCGAAGTTCAGCACAATGCCGTTCGACGTGTTCGCAACATCATCAAGAAATACGGCCTGACCCTTAAGCCCTATCCGGGTGACGATGAATATCAGAAATACGTCGCCGGCCTGGAATCTGAAGAGGTGGCCGAGTCGCACGAGGTCATTGACTACAAGGGCACTTTGATACTGTCAACTAATGGCAAATCTCACCCCAGCCCCATCTCCCCTACCAGTGGCGCGGCTTGGGATGTTTTTGCCGGAACCGTTCGACACACTTTTGCTTTCGACAACGGAACCGTGGTTCCCACTGGAGAGATTATGACGGGCAACACTGACACCCGTCACTATATCGGTAAGCTATACGATGAATTTGGGGAGAGTTGTTGAATATAGGTACTGATAGTTGATGGCAGGTCTTTCGGACAACATTTGGCGCTTCACGCCTGATCGATACCACGCTGAGAACAACATCCACACTATTGACGAGCATGCGAAGGTTGATGGACACATTGAGATGCTCAAGTTCTACTACAACTTTGTGCGCAACTTTGACGCCGCCAAGTTTTAAGCAGTAAAAGGAAAAGGTTGGATACAGAGTGAAATGTACATATATGTATGTCAAACAATTATGTCGAAGACTGCGACTCTCATCATGTGTGACTAGCCTCCGAGCTGTTGGGCTCTCGAATTTGAAGCCTGGTAACTAAGGAAGCCCAGGGGCAAATACGCATGGAAAAGTACAATTTTTGCATGTAATAAAACATCCAAAACGATTACAAAGATATTCATTACTTGCCGTAGTTTCTCCTATTTCCTTGCCTAAGGCTACAATTCTTAGTTCTCCATAGTCTGGGCACGGAGTTTCTCCAGATTCACATGAGTTCTGGGGAAGAGGCCAAAGATACTTGGGTACTTCCCTATCCGGCTTATCGAAATTAACCGAGGGTAAATCGCACGGTTCCGATTCGCCAGAAATGCCGGGGAACTGTTGCATTCCCCACCCCCAGCCGAATACGCCCTTCAAGTCTCCATAAGCCGAAGCCGAAGAATGATTAACAAGCTGGAGCAGAACCAAGTAAAAAATAACTAGGAGGCCGTTTGACATTTGCCAGGCTGCTTCTAGATTATTTTCCCCAGATTCTTCGGTTCGCATGAACCTAGAATCTGCATTTCTTATCTGTAACCCCGGATCTCAAACCCACATCACTCAAGGCTCCCCCAGTATCGTATCGCCACATTGAGGCAAAGGCGAACCAACAGCAATCTTCAACCTGAGAGGCTGACAATACCAAAGTGCCGTCTGATTCACCACAATCCGGAAGCCAAGTGGAGGCAATGAGTTCGTCCAAGTCAGATGAAGAGGCCTCTGGTCCCGGCTCCCCGCTGTCACGGACTCGGCTCCGGGCAAGTCATGCCTGTACCGTCTGCAGAATACGCAAAGTGAGGTGTGATGTGGTGGTAACTGGCTTTCCGTGTACAAACTGTCGGCTGGATTCGGCCAATTGCAAGGTCACACCGCGGAAGCGGAAATGGTAAGTTGCCATGACATGTGGAGAGTCTCTCACATCCATACTAATTCATCTCATCTTGAAAGGGAACAACGGGTGAAGCGGGTCATAGAACAAGAGGAAAAGGAGCGCTTGGACCAGTCTCGGTCTCTGACTGAAGACAAGCTGAGGCCTTCACGACATGTTCACTCAGCTCCAACGGCACAAGTAGAAGTAAAGAGTGATCACACACCATCCTCGTCTTCTAGTCCGCCATCTAGGACTACCCCATCCACAATCCCGGTGTTTCAGCAAGATGAATCAGATTCTCACACCGAGGCCTCAAAACACAACTTCACCTTCACCGATGGCACCATCGACCCAAGTCAAATTGGACGGCGACCCAGCCTCGATGGTGTTGGCAACCCCTGGGGGCTTGACTACGACAAAACCACCATCTTCGGGTTGCAACCACCTGCGCGTTCCGTGCCTTACACCAACTACTATTTTGTCGATCCCGGTTACCTCAATCAACTTGCCCATACCGATGTCAAGTACTTGACAGAAAAAGGCTGTCTCTCTCTGCCCTCAGATACACTGCTGGAAGAGTTCTTTCATCAATACTTCTCACATATCCACCCCATCATCCCTCTGCTCAGCGAGGCAGAATTCTGGGCAGCAGAGGCCCGCATTCCCCTTCTCTTGATTCGGGCCATACTATTCATCTCATCTCCCGTAAGCCCTTCTATCGCTTCAATCCTTGTGAATCAAGATTAACCCGTCCACAGTACGTTAAGCCGTCAACACTGCTCAGCCTTGGATATAGCAGTGTACAATCGGCCCACACCGAGCTTTACACGTTAGCAAAGGTTAGAGAAGCCATGCCTAGTGCACTATGAGATTGTTTCTAACAATCCTTTTACAACACAGACAATGATGCAGTTCGATATCCACAGAAACAATGTCGTCAATGCCCAAGTAGCCGTCATGCTAACCTACCACTCACCTGCGCCAAGCGACACGACAAACACACACTGGATGGTAAACGCAGTTCACTATGCTCGATGTGCTCGAGCCGATCAGTACTACACTCTCAGCGATGACAATCCCTCAAAGCTCATCCTCAAACGACTCTGGTGGGCCTGCATATTGCGAGACAGGGTCATGTCTTTGAGCTTACGACGGCCATTGAACATTGGGTGCGACGAATTCGACTTTAGTCTGCCAGGACTCACCCTCGCCGACTTCTCAGATGAACTAGGAGTGTCTACGGTGTACGATAGGCCGACGAAGCAGATTTTGGCGCATATGATGTCGGCTTTTTGCGAACTCATCATTCCGTTGAACAAGGCTCTTGTTATCCTGTACCCTGCGTCAGGTCCTAAGAGTGTTAAATCAGATGCGGATATTCAGAAGGAATCTGATACTTGCGTTGAAACTCTGCAGCTGTTGGATGTTTGGTACCGCAAAACAAAGGAACGATTCGAGATTTCCACGCCATCAATTGGCATCCACAAAGCATTGACAATGTTTACCAAGATGACATTTATCTACTACTAGTAAGTCCAACAGATGTCTCTAGACAACAAGACATAAGCCGTGAGCTGACATCTTTAAAGCTCTGCAAGAGCAAGCTTGTGTTATCACATGATGTTATTATCCGTATCCAATCCTAGTCATGCTTCCGACACACAGGAGAATTATCTGCAAGTGCAAGCGGAGATGGATTCTGCGTTGAAGGGCATTACTGGAGTCTTTATGCATTTGGCCCGTCTGGGTCTTGTTCAGTACTTGCCAAACACATTGTAAGCAAGTCGTCTTCTTTTACTTAGAACTTCGCACTGACCCAATTACCAGCGTCACCTTCTCGGCCATTCCGCTCATATGGCAAGTTTTGGACGCAAAAATACTCAATACCGGAACTCTCGCCGCAGACAACAAGCGCGACCTAATGGTCTATACAAACGTCATGAACAAATTCCGAAGCCTCCACGAAAACGCCAACAACGTCCTCAAATTCATCAAACAAATCATCGCACACATCCAAACAACTGAATCCGTCGAGATTGCCCAACAGGAGCAGCTAACAGACACATGTTTCCCGCCCGAGCTTTTATCCAGCTTCCCACCCGGTGGAAAGATCCAAGAGAAGGATAAGGAACCAAAAAACAAATGGGCTCAGTTGTTCGCTGGGAAACCGCGGACATATCTGCGAATAGCGTTGACGATTCAGCATTCTCTTTCGAGCGGCCACTTTCCTTCGGAAGAGGACTTTCCCAAGGCTCTGCAGATGGTCAGTTTTGCGGAAGATACTATGGATAATAGTGTTGATGTTGGGCTGTACAAGTATTTGCAGCATATGGAGGATTTCCTGCTGTCTGCGTGATTGTGAGAATCTGGTGCCGGAAAAAGTTCGTATTGTTTCATTCCCGTCTTTATTAGCGATATGCCTGGAAGTAATACTTAGAATAATGCTTTCGTTTCAATACAGCACAGAACGTCTAGAGATGTGAAAAATATTGACCCGAACCAGTTTTCGCGCTTTATTGCTAAAAAATATCCTCGTTTATACCTCACATCTTGAGATTCCGCAACCCCGAATTTTTATGTTTCTCGCGCCATTGTCTAGCCAATTTATATATCCAAAAGAAAAAAAAATTATATGCTCTTCTATTTTCCTAGAGAGCCATTATCCGACAACGATTCTAGTTTTTGACTTCACCCCCAGATTCGATTTCATGCTTGGAGTAACCGACCGCCGTCAATGATTGCCCGTTGATGTTGACGGGTTTGGCAGCTATTCAACCATAAGTTTCTCTGATCACTTCACAATAGATAGATGCATCTGAGGTAGCCTTACCGGATAAGATAAAGTAAATGCGTGCCGGCTTGTCTGTGCTATTGGTCCAACCGTGGATTGTCCCGCGCTGGACGCAGACATCACCAGCGTTCATGTGGATTTCGACATCATCGTCAAGGTGGCTAAACAAAGATATCAGCAATTGACTCTAATATAACACCCAGAATCTCGAAGAGATGCAGCATGCAGCAAACATACCAGATAACTTCTCCACTATGCAAAATGCCGAAATCCAGCGATTCGGTTCGATGGAACAGCATCTGTAAAGATTCTCAGCATCAACACCTGAAACCACCCCACCAATTGCCAATTCCAGGTCAATCATACCCCTGCCTTCTCCACATTCGGCGGGATGTCTACAACTCGCAGGACGATTCCCTTGTTATTTGCCAAATCCGTGGTCCGGACCTTAGTCGGGTCCTCCCATCCATCGTTGGACACTGGAAACTCGTGAGTTTCGAATAACACGGCAAAGTTGGCCCCTATCGGTGTCGGCTGGCATGGAATAGTGCCGTCAGCAACGACAATGGCCTTGCCCTCTGAATTGTGGCCAGTGACGATTCGTCTTGGGTCGGGGAACCAGGAAGTCATGGTGGGATGTGTAAATGTATTGGCGGCTGGGAGTGTTATCAAGAAGGGCGACCACTACAAGAACCAACCACGGGGGAAAATCTTTGAGTTATAAATTGAGACTGTTTGAATACGCTGAATACGATTTGCCAAATCACATGACATCTAAGACAGCCAACGTGTCACTTTACTACTGGCATGCGGTGTAGCTGCAGAAACTTGGCGTCACCAAGTTGCTGTTTGCAGAGGCAATTTGCGCGATGCGAAGAGGCGGGAGAAAGGAGAGCAAGCAGATGCATGCGGGCTTTCGAAGATTTACCATCTGCCTAGTACAAGTCCAGTATGGAGCCCGGCCTACATATTACCCACAGGCACAATGCCAGTGCTGATTTGTTGAGGTTTCACTGCCGGGTCTGTTCCATGCGGGGAGCTGTTGGGACCGCGCAATTGTGAGAAACTAGAGCGAGGACGAGGGACGAGTCTTACTGGGATGAAACCAGCGACTATCCGAGAACTAGTGGAAGAATGGGTTAGTGTTGGATGTGCATTGTAGCACTGATCGGGGAAGAGCCAATGGATAGAATGTTGGTCGTGTATCCGACTTGGCGAATCATCTGGGCATTCTGAGCGCATTGTCTCAGATAGCTCAATCCGTCCCAACAACTTTTTGCGATGCCAAGTGCGTATAACACGTATATGTAACAGAGTAGTTCCTATCATGATGCGAAAATCTGCATGACTGAATCAACGATTTCTTTCTTTTCGTTTTCTTTCAAGTAGGTATGATTAGCTCTGTCAACTAGTACTCTGCCTAAACCATTGAATGAAGTCATACGTAGGTACCTGTAGCCGTGATGGTGCTGTCAATGACACCCGACATTACACTTGTAAAAGCAGCACTCGAACACCTGCAGATCTCAATAGCAGCAATTGAACATCAGCTGGAATCTGGAAGCATGCACGACTTGCTGCGAGTTCCGATTGAAGGAGCGTGTAGTCCTTCTTATACTCAATTAGCGCTCGGCACTTGACTCTTCACATGCCGCTGCACTAGAGTCAAAAAAGAACACGGAAATCCAAACTGTCGGAAGGCTTGGGATCCAGTGGAGCGGATACACTCGTGTGGTACACAAGTTGGTAAGCAGTAAGCGATGAATCAACAACGAGGCACGGATCGTCTTATGCTTATTTCGTCCTACGGGCGGAGCCGTGCCAAGCAAGCGGCCTACTTTTCCGCCATTCCGGACCTTAGTTGGGCGTGTTGAAGGTAAAATGCATGCATGTCAACTCATCCCAATAGTTGACAACGAGATCAAGACCACAACCCTCCGCAGTCTGTGCGGATAAACTAGGATAAGGAGGAGCCTCAATAACAGTGGCTTGCGGAGTATGTGATGGAGGCTTATCCGCTGATGATGAATAGCCTAATAACCCCCCATACTATAAAAGCTGAATGAATGATTATCGCCGGAAGACTAGTCGGAGTTAGGTTGAGCCACCCGACGTTGACAACCTATTCTCAACACTCTACACCATAGACTATGGACAGCATATCCTAGAAAAATACTCTATCCCCTATCATGATGTGGTAATCATCGCCGCAAAAACAAGTACCGTGGAAGTGATGACAAGAAAGTAGCCGCAAAAGCAAGTGATGACAGAAAAGTAGCTTCCTTGGGCAAAGCTCACAGAAAGTCAAGCAAATCAACTTCCGCCTGTAGCTAGTCCCGCGGACCAATGAAAATGCCCGCCAGCCGAGCCAGCCTCTCAGCGATCGTGGAACCGCGAGATTGCGAATCTGGTGTCTTCGGCTAGCTGGTGCCGGGGGATCAATGGTGGGGACAGCTAGAGGTCCGCCTGAATCGTCGGCGGATGATATTGATGCCGGAGGAGAGACGGTTTTCGGCCGTGAGTCCGCTTCAATGAATAGTACAAGGAAACAAGATAATGTTGCGCGCATAGGTGAGGACATAGAGCGCTGCGTGACACAAAATGGAAGCTATGAGTGAACATTGATACTCGCAACTAAGAGAAGCACCGTCAAACTCGAGAGTTGTCATCTCAAAACTGCGATTCAATCCCAGTTCGAGATTTGTGATCATGCAATCATGCAAGGACTCCTCCGCAAAGCTCAGAGCTAAGCTCCCGTGGATTGCATGGGTGGCTGCCCACGTTTGTGAACTAAAGATCGAAACACCGAGGACCCAGTGGAGTTTGCGAGCAAATTGGATGCGACTTGACTAATTGATCAATAGCGTAATATATAAACTTGCGTGATTCGTGTGCTCTTTTCAGCTCCCCTCTATTCTTCATCGTCTACGCAAATAAAGCTGTGCAGTTTAGTTGAGCGCTTTTCCTCAACTCGTTGTATCGCAGCGTCAAACAGCCAGCCAGACGGTGTCGCAACGCAACTCAACCCTATTTCGCAACCATGTTTCAAGGCCTTGGTAGTCTCTTAACCCAGGGTTGGCCTCCGAAGCCTACTTTCACTGAAAACCAGCTGGGAGATCTCTCTGGAAAGGTTAGCAAAACTACCACAACTCTTCTTCTTAATAGTGCTTAAACTTCAAATTATCGTACTCACACCGATTTCTTGTGTGGCAGGTTGTTATTGTAACTGGTGGATATTCGGGCGTGGGATACCAGCTCGCCAAAATTCTGTATGCGAAAAACGCAGTCGTATACATTGCCGGTCGCCGTGAAGATGCCGGCCAAGACGCAATCAAGACCTTAAAGGCGGCTCATCCCGACTCCAAGGGAAGGCTAGAATTCCTGCAGCTTGACTTGGCCGATTTAACATCCATCAAGGCCAGCGCAGATGCTTTCCTTGCAAAGGAATCTCGGCTCGACAATCTTTGGAACAATGCAGGAATCATGCGGTTGCCCAAGAATTCACCCACCAAATCGAAACAGGTACGTCACATTTACATGCCCTCGACACGGCTTAATACGATGCATCTAACAATCTTCATCTAGGAGCATGAGCTGATGCTCGCTGTCAACTGTCTTGGTCCCTTCCTCTTCACAAAGTTGCTCCACCCTCTCCTTGAATCAACAGCCAAATCCTTGCCAGCAGGAAGCGTTCGCGTTGTTTGGCTAGGATCACTCATGATCCAAATCATGGCACCCAAAGGTGGCATTGATCTTGACAATCTTGACTACAAGAAGAAGTTCCCAGACATCAATGTTAGATATGCAGTTAGCAAGACTGGAAACCTCTTCATTTGCAGCGAATGGGCCAAGCGAGATGCTGAAAAGGGAATTTTCCACCTGGTAAGAGAGCCCATCATGATTTCTCGACAATTTTCGTCATACTGACTACTCTTCTACTACAAAGGCGGCCAACCCCGGCAACCTCAAAACGCCTCTGCAGCGCGACATGCCTGCGTGGGAATACTATCCGATTGTAAGTCATTTTGCATTTCACGGGACCAAATAAAGAGCAACTCTTTTTAACGCTCAAATTAGATACCGCTCCTTCACGATCCCATCTTCGGTGCTTACACAGAATTGTTTGCTGGCTTGTCTCCGGACGTCAAGCCAGAGCACAGCGGACGATTTGTCATTCCCTGGGGTCGCTTTGGCACGACTCGTCCTGACATTGATGCACACCTGGCTAAACAAGGAGGAGAGCCTACCAAGGCGACGAAATTCTTTGAGTATTGCGAGAGCCAGACCAGCGCTTATGCGCAAGATCTATGACGTTGCTGGGGAGAAGGGGGATTTGTGTGTGCGGCTCGGGATTCTTCAAAGAAATCGCAGTGTCCAGAAAGATTGTTTGTTCTCAAATAATACCTATTCGTAATATTAGCGTCGTATACATTATTCCATAACATAAAACACTTGTTATTGTATTGTTCAAGTGTGAGATTAATGATATGACGGCCGGTTGCTCACGAAACCGAATGCTGTCACCACTTGGTGCTGCCGATATCAAACTTTTTTTTTTTCAAGTCTCAGTCCAATTTTGAAGTCTCAAGTTATATCCAAGTGTCTTTAGGGGTGAGAAGGAAAAAGAAAAGAAACAGTTCCCCTGACGATCATTGGAGTCAGTATCAAACAGTTCATCACTGGAATTGGTAGATCCTGATCTCGCTACAGGTTATACGCGATGATACATGACAGAACCGCCAGAAAGCAAGACATCTGAGATTGAAACAAAGGCAAACGAGTCAACTGTCAAACTGTCAAGGAAATATGTATCACATGGGTGCGACGTATATGCGGGTCAAATTAGACAAGATCGTCAGTGGCTTTGGATCTCGAGCAGGTTTCAGGAACAGAGACAGGAACATTGTATCAAGCAAGTGAAGATGACGTCTACATGTCGAGTTGTCCCAACACAATGTACTTGTGGCATTGACACATCTCAGAGAGACTTGATCTGCCGTGAATTGTGTCATGAATTGGGATGGAGCAGCAGCCGATATTTGCTCCATTCAAAACCTTGGCAGAAAAGGGCCGGGTTGCAAGCCACATAGTCCGTATATCGTAAATACGAAGCACTCACCGACTCGACGCATGAACTGCTTGCACTCATAATGTTTCAGACTCACACAGACAAATTTGTTTACATGAAACTGCTTGTCTTAAGAGTAGATGCAGCCGAGACCATGAGATGGCCCCGTTCATGGCAGTTCCACAACTTGGAGCTCCTATCTGGCTCCAGGATCTGTGAATACGAGTCTCCAACAGCTAAACTAGGTGGCTCTAGGACGAATAAACTGGGCTCCGATAAACTTTATGGCGGTTACTATTAATATCCAGATAAAGTGCACGCGCAAGCTTGCTGGCTTAGCAGCGTGATTGTCCAAGCGAGACGAGATTCCTGATCTACTCCCAGCGGCCAACGTGGGTCCTTGTGGGTTCATTCCGTGATGTGCTTCGTGCTAAGCTTTGGGGCCTCGGTCCGTCCAGGGCCCCTGAGGGAGCTTGGGCCGGGATCTGCGAAGGGCCGTTTTCCTGTTCCTTGCTTTTTGGGCTCATCTGAGCTGAGAGCTATCTGTTAGGCAGCAATTCGGGATATCAAGGTGCGAGCAATGGTCCCAACGGCCGTCTCACGCTGACTCGTTGGTAGCCCAGAATCAGGGTTCGGTGTGAGCGATGCAGAGTTTTGCATGACTTTGCTCCTGATATCTGGGCACTAACGGTCGCAGATAAGCTTCAGGGCATCTTCCGATAGGTTGATTTCCGTCTCAAGATGACGGACGGAATCATTCGAGAAGACATTCTGGGACGCCATAGAGGAACTATCTGGCCTATGCTGGCATCCCATGTTCCCATGTGGCGGCAGTTGTTGTGGCCCCTGGCAGATTCTTATCGAAGGAGCTAGCACTGCGTAGCGAGCCAAGTAAGATTAGCTGAATCGCTGCAGAATCTTTCAAGCCAAGGCGTTTGTTAGTTTGTTAGTGTACCTGACAGGGCTGGGCTGGCTGAAGACAATGGGCAAAAAAAAGTGGTGCGGATTGCGCAAACAAAGGTCATGCTCGCCACCACAAAAACTGATGGCGTTTGCCGTTCCTGATATAAGCCGGACATGTTGACGGAATACGTGACTCCTTTTAAATATTCCATAGATATGACGTGTAATTGACCGTGATACGATATTTGTGAGTTTGATAAGCCAAAGTATGCCGTGATATACAGTACAGGTGAAAGATTTTCCATCTCATGGTTCCGGAGTATTGATGGAGAAATTATTTCGCCTCTCGCCTGATGCAGCTGCACGTGCGATAAGCCCACCACCGGCTACTCCAAACAGGCAACCCGAAGGCCGTCCCTGGTCGTATATGTACATAATCGCCAACAATCTTGGCCATCAGAACCGCTTTTCTGGTCCACCTGCAAAACTTCTCTCTATCACGCTCTCGCTAGCCCGCTGTGGATTTCGTATTATTGCTCTTTATGCGCCCGATGGCCGGCGGCGGCGCTCAAACTACCGACAGGCTAACTGGGCGGGCTTTGCAGCTAGGTTTTCCATGCCCCCAAGGGGCCGAGATACGCAGTGATGGCAGTATAAGCTGATGGAGTGGCAACGACGCAACGATCAGATGAAGAAGCTCCGATGATCACGGAAGGCGAGCCGATCATGGCAATGGCCAGCAAACTCTGTTGGCAACTATGGCGAGCATCGATAGAGTCATGGCACGGCAGGATGGAGCAAGGCGGGAAAAAAACCGGGGATGGCAAGACGGCGTCCGCCCCCCAAGTTACTCGACTTGCAAGCCGCTTTCTTCACCTTTGGCATGCGGACGTTGGCAAGTTTAGATTCCTCGCCGGCATCCCCCCACCCTCCGTCTCGCCATCGTGGCTGTAATTGCAAATCTAACTGGGTCCGGGACCCAGACAAGCTTTGCTCGCTGACATGGGACCCAACCGCTATCAAGGATGGATCACCACGCACAAGGGGGAGGGAGGGGACATTCCAGACCTGCCAGAGATCCGACCCTCCTCGACCGGCCATTACTCATCTTTAAGCTTTTTCTCTCTTATTTACATGTCACGCAGCCGTGGTAGCCGTCTCCTTCAAGACTATGCAACATCATCTCCCTTTCTCTGGCTCCAAGTCTCTCCCTAAACCCTGAGACAGGTCTCAGAGCTGGTCGCATTGGCAGTTGGCACTCCACAACAATGTCAACAGACCCCAAGGATTACGCTGAAATTGTCGATATCCCTACACCAGGCCGTAAAGGCAAGAAGCGCGTCGTCTGGAGCGAAGATGAATCCAGACGGGAGTCGGAGAGGTCATCAGCAAACCTCTCGGCTGGCCCAATTAGTCAACCGATTGCCTCTCCCGGCAGTGGTGACTGGCTCTTGAGCGCTGGCTCGCCTGGATATATCGACCATTCACCCCAGGCATCTCCCAGCCTGCAATTCACTCCCCCCGGCGCCCCGGATGCTCAGGAATTGAGACTCGCCTTAAACAAGGTGCTGCTGACAGGAGAGGAGGAGCGTCACTTTCACGAACAGCAGACGTCACCGGTCCTGACACCGATGAAATCTGGAGAACCTTCCCCAGTCCCAAGAATTCCAAGGCCAGTTTTGAGACGGAATACGAGTTACAATGTGCCCCAGGAACAAGAGGAGGCAGACAAGGCGGAGAAGCATGCCACGGAGCGGCAGCTTCGATCCATGACTGACGCACGGCAACGGGCGGATCGATTGGCTGTGTCAGTGGGCGCCTTGTACTCGCAATCTGCCCCAGGATCAAGACGAAACTCCATCGAACTTGAACGAGCATTCCAGCCCGTCATTAACGTCTCAGACGATCATGATCCAGACCTGGATGACGCCGCTATCACCACGACCAGTAGCAGCAGTACTGCTACTCTCAAGGAACCCTACTCTCTCAACACACACTCCACGATTCATCGCACCCCCCATAGCTCCCGTTTGTACCAGCCACATGAAGAGCATGACAGAGCGGAGATGCTGGTCAACTCTCATGCTAAAAACCACCTGTTCCACCCACAATTCTCGGCAACATCTGGAAGATCAACCCCAGTCATAATGCAGGCCTACGCCCAAGACTACGTTCCCAGGCCCTCTTCCTATCGTGGAGGCATCCTCTCTTCTCTGCTCAAGCTTTACCGCGATGACAACGGCGCCGACCACGGTCCAGGTAGCAGCGGGTTCACTACTCCTACTACAACGCCCTCAACACCCATCATGTCTCCGCATCCCTCGCCTCCGAATTCTAGACGCCCCTCGACTGTCAGCACTATCCGATCGCGATCATCTAGCCGACTGAGAGGCTATCACAAATCTCGGGGCTCGACTTCCTCGGTTGCTTTGGGTGAGCTCCTAAAATCATCATCCATGTTTGCAGCCCCTGGCTCCAGCGAAATATCTGATCGTCTCGCAGAGAAGATCAAGAAGGAAAAGTTTGGAAAGCCAAAGAAGGAACAGATCCGGATCACAGTTCACATTGCGGGTATCATCGCACGCCACAGATACTTGTTGAAGCTATGCCGTGCACTCATGATGTATGGTGCTCCGACGCACCGCCTGGAGGAGTACATGAACATGTCCTCGCGCGTTCTCGAAATCGAAGGCCAATTCTTATACATACCATCATGCATGATTATCAGTTTCGACGACAGCTCAACGCACACAGCAGAAGTCAAGGTAGTTCGAGTACCTCAGGGAGTTGACCTTGGCCGCCTACGAGACGTTCACAACATCTACAAGGATGTCGTCCACGACAAGCTTGGTGTGGAGGAAGCGACCCGACGCCTTGACGAAGTCATTGATCGGAAACCCAAGTTCAAGACTTGGTTCCGGGTGTTCATGTATGGTCTTGCCTCGGTTTGCGTCGCTCCATTTGCTTTCCAAGGTCGCTTCATCGATCTGCCTATTGCCTTTTTGCTGGGCTGCTTAGTTGGGCTTCTTCAGCTCGTCTTTGCTCCCAGCAACGAGCTCTACGCTCACGTCTTTGAGGTTTCTGCTGCTGTCATTACGACCTTTATCGCTCGCGGTTTCGGGTCAATCCAAGGCGGGAAGCTGTTTTGCTTTAGCGCTTTGGCCCAAAGCAGCATTGCCCTGATCTTGCCTGGGTACATGGTGCTCTGTGGATCACTGGAGCTGCAAAGCCATAACATCGTTGCCGGTAGCGTTCGCATGGTGCACGCCGTCATCTACACTCTCTTCCTAGGTTACGGTATCACCATTGGAGCTTCCCTGTACGGCATGCTCGACAGTAACGCGGCCAGTGCGACAACTTGCGACAATCCTCTCAGCTTCAACCGCGGATGGAATTTTCTCTTTGTTCCAGGCTTCACGTTGTGCTTGTGCATCATCAACCAGGCCCAGTGGAAGCAAACACCCGTCATGACTATCATGTCCCTCGCCGGCTTCTGCGTCAACAGCTATTCAAGCCAATACTTTGAGAGCAACAGCCAAATCTCCAACATGCTCGGCGCCCTAACCATTGGTATCCTGGCCAATCTGTACTCGCGACTTGGACGACACGTGCAAAACGCCTGGCTAGATCTTGTAGAGTGGTGGCAGGCGCGAGTCCAGCCTCGATTTTCCAAGAAGAAGCAAGAGATGCCTCCGACGCCCGACGAAGAATCCAGCATGGGAACACCTCCAGATCAGCCACAGCGACTACCCAGGAAAGTCGGCTATAGTCTTGCTGCTGCAGCCATGCTCCCGGCCATTTTTGTCCAGGTGCCTTCCGGTCTGGCTGCGAGCGGTTCCCTATTGGCTGGCATCAACTCAGCAAATCTGCTAAACAAAAACGCATCCTCCTCCAGCAATTCTCAGATCGACGGCACCGCGTTTACCGTGCTATTGAGCGTCATCCAAGTCGCAATCGGCATCAGCGTGGGCCTCTTCATGAGTGCCTTGATCGTCTACCCGCTAGGGAAGAGGAGAAGCGGGCTATTCAGTTTCTAATTTCTAATAACGACAATAATCTCTTTGCATCTGTTTTTTTTTCCTTATTTTGTTTTCTTACTCTTCCTATTCTTTTCTTTTTCAGCGTTTGCGAGCAAACACTCCTAGAGCTAGAGCCAGGAGCAGCATTTCATCATGTCAATTTACTTCTACTTTCTTCTATTTTTATCTTGGAGTACGGCGGAGATGAGGATCATTATGTCACTATCCACATACTACAAGATCTATTATAAAGAGACGGGCAACAGAATACTACAAGCCGCAGGATACGATCTAATACGCACCGCTATTCGCACAAATACAACAAGACAAGCGGCTCCAATTGTTTAACTTCATTCCAATTTTTTTTTTTTTTCAGTACTTAGCGTTCTGGTTTTTCTTTTTCTAGCGGCAGGAGTTGGACGGGTATTTTGTTTTCTTCGGATCTTAGATGTCTCACACATAAACACAACATACATCATATACAGCGTCCTTTTCTACTTTCCTTTGGAGCAACTACATACAGGCGATAGATGGGGGAGCTAGATATACACGGCTTAGATACCTTTTTTTATTAGAAATCTTGAATCAAGAGATTCCACAACCTTATGATCCCTGAATGTTTCGCGTACGCCGTAGAAGCTTTCAGACACACATGAGAGACTGTGCCGTTATGAAACGCAAGCCACTATCCTCCAATTACTATATCATCTCCTCGTATTAAGTATCTGTCGCATAGGAAGTACTTCTTTTATACGCCCCATTTCTTCCTGCCACTTCAGCTAATTATCTCACACCCGCTATGTAAATGGCCTCAAGGGAGATTATGGAATGGGCCAACTGAGATGTATCACAGCCACGTGCTTTTGATGGTCAGCTGGTGCTGAAGCAGTGGTAACGAGAGGCCAGAAGATGATATGTGGCTTGGGAAGAGAATGTATGAGGTTTGAGTTGAATATGCGGGGGAGCGACATGTGATGCTTTGGGTATAGGGGCGTGAACGTTTGAGAGTGAAGGAGTTTAGTTTCACCTCTGAGGACTCAAGTAGAGGGTTAGAATGAGAATCGATGTTTATATCTATATGAGTATACCTAGATATGGGTGATAAGAGCAGCTTCACAAAGATGAAGCAAGAGACTACAGCCCAAAAGACAGCAAGGCGTGATTATACCCAGTACGACTGCTTAGACATTTTGAAGCACTACATCTGAAACCAGGAAACCAAGTAATTGGCATGTGTCATCCTGATATCATGTGCAGAATTGGTCATCGGAGCCCCAGTTGTCCATGTCTTATACATTGAGCAAGGGTACTTCATCTCACGATCTGATCTAGCTACAAATTACGTTATATCAGACCTCGCAGGAATTCCGCTTTAAGTGTTTTCTGATCAAGTGACGTCCCGGTATGCTTCGTTAAAACCTAGGTAATTTGGTAAGGCTGTTTGATATTGCTTAGTTGCTCGGTGATGGTTTCGTCTTTGGGTTTATGGTGAAGGCTAAGCTAACTGAACAATTTCACGATGTCGCTGTAAGATTACTTACTCTGCTTGATAGGTATTCTGTATATCGGAAGCTACCATAAGGATGAAACAACAATACAATGACTGCTCTACTAAAACTTGAATACAATGAGCAATAAAAGATTTAATCAATCGCTTTACTCCTTGCGACTACTCATTTGGTTTGCTATTTCTCTTTCGTTGAGGCTGTACATCAATATTTACGCTTACCCTGGATTAGTTCGCCTCGAAATGGGCCAAGAGTTGCACCACCGCCCACCAGCCTCAACGCAGGACCCAGCCGCACTGACATAAAATTTCTTATGCTAATACAGAAGCGATTGATGCCATAGTATTAAAAATAAATCCAACATGAGCCAAATCATGCTTTCCAAAGCCTCAGTTCATGATCTAAACCCAATGTGTTGTCCAATGTTGCAGCGTTTATAAAGTACTTCCACGAGGCTTATTCCCGTCAAAAAGTTACCGGCCAAATGGTCTAGTGGTATGATTCTTGCTTTGGGTTACCGACTCAACTGCAAGAGGTCCCGTGTTCAATCCACGGTTTGGCCCCAAACCTTTCTTTTTGATTTTTTTCTCTGTTTTCTTTTTGGATTTTTTCTCCGTCCATCGTCATCCGGGTCGCAGACATTTGCTTACATGGCGAATTGAGATATTTTTTGGTTGATAGACTCGTTGATCAACAAGTATTGCGAAGTGGAGTGCTGTTTATCCATGGCCATGATGATGCCCCTTCTAGTCACAGCACTTACACTTACAAATCTCTTACACGACATTGTACAAAACACCACTTTCATTCATAATATCAGATTAACATTGCTTCATCATATTATAACATCTACTTAGTCCATGACTTTAAGCATATCATACGCCTTGTGTGAAATCACCTTCTTAACCGTCGCTAACGGATTCATCTTCGCCTTCTTCGTCTTCTCAGTCGCAGTAATCTCCACCATATCCTCATCCTTCACATCTACTTCTCCCTCCTCTTCCTCTTCCTCCTCAGCCTCAAACATTCCATTATCCATAAACACCTTCAACATGCCCTGCGAATACCCGCTCACCAATGCCGTGCCCGCTTCCCCCGCAAGCACCGGCTTCGGCGCAGTTCCACCCGCTCTTCCACCAGCGAGATTCCAAAACACCAGCTCCGGCAGCTCATACCCGTGCTCCTCGTATTTCGCTTTGATCCTCTCATAGGAGGACGACCACGTCGCCTGTTTTTGAGGTCCATCCGATCCATAGTAACTGTAGCTGCTCTCTGCTGAGTCGAACTGCATGTCACTGAACACAAACACGCGCTTCACCATGTCCTTCTGCTTGAGCTTGTTTTCGATGGCCAGGGGAAGAATCAACTGTTCGAAAACAGCCACGAAATCCGTATTCCCACCCCAAGGCGCACGCATAATCTCCTGAACCTTCTCGGGAAACGTCTTGTTCATACTGATAGACTTGATCGACGGCCGCGAGTGGAACGTGATAAACTTGCCGCCAAACGGCTCCTCAGTCACCTCTGCAACCAAAAGAGACAGTCCAATCGCAGAGTGCATGGGCGTAGTGCCGTCCTTGAAGACGGGGCCGCCCATGCTTCCAGATACGTCGCACACTGCAATGCACGAAGACAGAGTGCCCGAGTCCTTTATCCGCTGAACGAGCGTCTTCCACTGGCCATCGGCAACCTTGGCCTCAATTTCCCTCATGGTGTGGTTGATGAGCTCCTGTTGGCTGAGATGCTTCAGGTTGGATGAGGGAGCCTTCGATGCAGCGCGAACTAGTGTAGAGGGCAACAAGACAGCTCCCGAGATATTGGCCTTTCCCTCGGCAACCTTGCCAATGTACTCTTGGAAGCGATCCAGATCCTTTGCAATAAAGACTCGGGTGTAATTCTTCATCGCGATGGACGGCACGCGCTCGTACTTGATCTTGTCGAATGTATTGGCGCTGATATCCCGCTCCACGACTTCAAGGTGCTTTCTCAGGGCAGACACGTCTTTGCGATACTCCTCTCGTGCATAGCGTAGGTATATCTCCCGACTATCTGATGCAGAGACTACGCTCGCAAGCGACTCTCGCGGATACAGGATTTCGGCGATGGAGCTGATGATGCAGGTATGCCTATCGTGGAAATTGCCATGCGAAGGAGCCCATTTTGCACAGAGAGAGATGCCCCTTTTGGCTCTGGGATCAGAGTCCCGGAAAGCTGCCAGGTCAGAGTGAAGCTGCTCAGCAAAGAGTCGCGCCACGGCGACATGTAAAGTTCGGTAAACGGCATTGGTGTTGAATCTGTCCATGGAGGCCGCATGCCGGTCATCTCGTTCCCGGTGCCTGGCCAACTTGAGGTTTCCTATACGTACTATCTCTTCCTCCAGGGCATGTGTTGGGTCTGCGGCTTTTAGTTCTCGCTTCTCAGCCCTTATTCGAGCCGCTTCAGCTTTTGCTTGAGACTCCTCAAAGGCTGCGACTTGCTGGGCGAATTCGGGGTTTCCAATGCGAACTGTCTGTTCTTCCAAGACGTGTCTGTTGGGCTTCGCTCGCATCTCCTTGGCCTTTGCCCTCTGTTTAGAAGCCTCTATGGCGGCTGCACGCTTTGCTGACTTGGCTGATCGAGGGGTCTTTGCAGAGCTCACACCATCCCTCTTCCTTTTTCGCCTCGCCAGCACAGCGTTCTTGATATCCTCGTCTTCCACATTCAAGACATCCCTAGGATTCTCAAGAACATCCAGCTTCTTCTCCATCGCCAAAACAAGGATATTCAGCAAGTCCTTCCAGTAGCCGTGCGAAACTCCGTGACGAACATCATACTGATCAACTGCATTCTCATCCCCTTCACGCTTTTCCACTTTGACATACCCTTCATCATTCTCGTTCTCCTTCTTGACCTTCTTCTCGATGATTGGCCGGCTGAGCCATCTCAAGTTACCGACCAGCGTGAGCGGGTGATTCTTCACCAGCCAGCCAGCGGCACGGTAGAAGACGTTTTTCGAGCTCTTGCCCAAGTGTATTGAGCGCGTATTGAAGATGATTTTCAGAGTGATGAGTGGGTGTACAGCCCAGGCAGCGTCGAGCAGCTCCTTCAGCCGAGGACCGGAAACGACTTCTTCCATTTCGAACAAGAGGTCGACCAGTGCGTTTTGAGTAGATCGAAAGGCAACGTCCGAGTTCTCCGTCAACATGCGGTTTAGAAACTCTTCGTCTTCCTTTTTCTGATCTGTTTGGGATGATTCCTTCTCTTCGCCAGCAAGAGTGATGCCGTCCATTGAGTCTTCCATTTCCAGGGACTCCATCGACATCACCCCATATTCACCCCGCAGTTCATCGGAGACATAACTGTCAAAGGCGGCAGGTGATTTGAACAAGGCATCATGGGTAGGGAAAAGGACAGGGTATGATGTCTTCAAGAACCAGGGCACCTCTTGGGCCTGGACCTGATCTTCGGTTGCTGCCATAATGAGGGCGGCCGCAACGTCTGGGGGATAAATATGGAAAAAAAATTGAAAAAAGAGAGCTCATGACTCTAGGATATATATATGTGAATATATGTGTTGTTGGTCAGAAGTTCTTGGCAAGCTGTTAGTCATACGGCGCAAATCCTACGGAGCTTAAAGAGGCTCGCCGAGGTGACTCAGACGGCATGCAGGCAGAAGCCACATGAAGCCGCATTGGTCAAAAAGAGAACGGGCGCCGTTGAACGGATGAAGCATCGTGATTGGACCGTTGGCGAAGATGGAAATGATGGGTTATCAGTGGTTCGGTAAAGTAATTCTGCTCGAATCTGGTGTCTCGCATGTGAGGCTGATTGCTAGGCTTAAGCAGCTTGGCAGCATAGCCCCGGACTCTAGACTTAGCGTGCTCGGCTTGACTGGGTGACATCTCAAGATCGATCTTAGCGGCAAAAAAAAGAAAACAGTGATCGACAACGGCGATGGACTACTAGTAGTAAGCACTGGTAGGTAGTCGCATAAAAAAAGCAATAGGACAAGTAGTGAAAGTTCATGAGCTATATTTTGCTCTTGATAAAAAGAGAAAGAAATAGCTAGCTATATACATATGGTATCTCGTAGATCAGCAACGTGGAAATCATTAATTAGTATAAAGTGGTAAGTAAAAAGAAACGCCATGCTTCGTCAGATGCATCCGCTGGCTAACAAGAAAATGCAAGAGTATGTCGTCAAGTGGTGTCACAGCTTGTCCTCCGCCATGTGACTCCGATGGCGATGATGATGATGATGATGATGTTGTTGTAGTAGTAGGGAGAATATGCGTATGCTGTACGTAGCATATTTGCTTAGAGACGTTTGGAGATCGTTTCCAGATATTGCTGCTCTTCCTGGGTGAGATAGACGTGCTCAGGCACAATGACCTGTCCAGGCTTGATGATGATATCGGCGGCATAAATGGTGTCCTCTTTTTCCAACTCGGTCTCGGCAGCGGCATTCGCCTCGACATCGGAAACGTATCTCGCATCGCCTTCTCCGCTGCTAGCGTCCTCAGGCTTGGATTCAGTTTCCTTGGCCTTCTTCTTGGATGATCGACGGCGAAACATGGAGTTGGGCTGCCTCACATCTTCAGGAGACCACCAGTAGACGGGAAATTGGCGCTCGATGTTGTTAATGAGGAGGGCTGCGCCAAGCATCAAAGTGCATCCCAACAACATGACGGGGATCAGAAACCAGCCGACTTGGATAAGAGTTGGATCAACGACGGCCAATAGCGCGGTTGCACCAGCCGGAGGGTGAACGGTCTTGGTGAGTGCCATCATTGCAGTAGCAGAAGCGCAAGCCAGAGCACCGCCGAGCCATTTGATGTCTTCGAAGTTGTCACTGAGAAGGAAGAGCTTTCCAACGGCACAACCAATGATGGCGGAGATGACCTGGCCGCTGATGGCGTTTCGCGGTTGCGCAAGAGGCGATTCAATGGCGTAGAACTCAAGGACGGCAGCAGCACCCTGGACGTAGCATCACCAGTTAGTTGCAACAATCATAAAATGTGCGTATATGCGTATACTTATACACGTATTCGTACCAGATATTTCTAAGATCGACTTACAAAACTGCCCACGATGAGAGGCACGTGGTGGGGTGGGAACGAGGCGACGTGCTTTCCAACGGCTTCAATCATGGCAATAGCACCAAAGACGCCGAGGAAGGCCCAGAAAATGGGCATCAAGTTGCCCGTTCCCTGAGGCTTCGTCTTGCGAAAGCCAAACCAGTAGGCGATGGGGTAAGGGATGTGGTTCCATGGCGGAGGAGGGATCAGGGGATTGAGGAACCGGTCAATGTTAAAATTCCAGGAATGGTGGATGGGCGCCATCGTGTCGGCTTGTCGCAGCTGAGGCTGGTATAACACGCGTTGATGCTGGCTATGTCAGAGAGGAAGGAGGTTTAGTCGTCGTGATGTTGTTTCGACACAGTTATGAGCGAGTGCTGGTGGCGAGAAGATACTGCTCAAGTTGAGGCAAAGGTTGTTGACCAGTCGAGAGAAGGTGAGCTGAGACTGAACTGAATGGTCATCAAGGCTCGCCAAGGCCACGAGGGAATGGGCCACCTAATATACAACACCCGCCTCGAAATAGTTTAAAGAGAGAAAAGAAAAAATCGAGAAGAAAAAGACGTAAAAGCCGAAAAGATGACGAGGGATGTTTGTGTGTGCCGCGGAGATTTGTCGAGCTGCATCCAAAGATGAGGAGAACGTAGACGGCCGGACTAACAGGCGTCAAGTACACCGCGCGTACCTCGGGATTGGCGAGACTCGGTGATGCGCAGGAACAGGAGCTGGGGAAAAGGTATCGGACACAGCGCGAGTACGACGAAAAACAAGAAGCAGGAAATGCTGGCTCGCATCTGTGCGGAACTGGCTTGGTTCCAGCAGCGGCCAGTCAGAGGGAAAGCTTGTACGTAACAAAAGCAGCCCTTTGAGGAAACCGCAGCCCTGCCGACCCCTGCGGCAGCTGGGAGCCCCACAGCTTTCCCTTTTTGCGGGAGTCGGGGGTTGGGTTTTAGCGTGCTAACGAAGTGGGGTTTGCATGAAGTAGTTTGAGGTATCTTTTGGCAATGGGAATTGTGCCATTGGGGTTGACGATGTTGGCATTAATGGCTTCAAATTGTATCAATTTACTGGAACTTAACTGTATGTGTTTATTACTGTATATATACCTACGTACATAACATGTAGTATTACAGCAAATTTTAATATCTAATAAGTAACAGTTTACTCGTCTCATTCTACCCTTGCTTCAAGCATTGTATTACTACAGACATTAGGAGGTAGTCCCACCAACTCTCCGCATTGCAATTGCCAGACTACTATATGCCTGAATCATTCATCCAATTCATTCAAAAGCCCACCTGACCGTACCTTTCTAGTAATCAATCCATTACCCTAGCCCGCAGCTGCATAGACTACTCGCTATTCGCAATTCATCAGTGCAGCCTTTCCCCGGAAACGTTTGCGTTGCGGTACTTGCCGGTACAAGCGTTCGGGTTTGGCTCGGAATCAGCACGCCGGAATACAGCCGGTGCAGCGCCAAAGCAGCAAATCGGGCAGCGCGAAATCGCCAAAAATCTGCTTCGGCACGCATCGCGGGAAAGGAGTTTTGGAATTCTTTTTGTTCTAGCACTGCATATGATGTCTTCTAGGGGAGGATTTATTCTCCGGTCTAGCTGCATTGGGGCCCGTTCATCCCGGAAAACCGTTTGTCTTGGCTTGTCTATTGCATTCACTTCTATGGATGCTTTTCTTCCTTTTGCCCTGTCCTTATGACGTTGCTTCTCGAAGCCAAGCTAGTCCCACTTGGCCGACATAAAATCGACGCCCGGTCGATTCGCTTCAGCGTCACTCGGCAGCCTTGCAGCCGTTTTTTTGCTTTAGCTTGCTTACGTAGCATTCGCAGAAACCTTCTCAAAAAGGAAATGCCTGGCTCTAAAAATACAAGCCGTTAACCCGTTGCCGACAACCGATCAAACAATGTTTCAAGCTGTTTTTCTGCAGTGAATCATCTCCCGAGATAGGCAACTTTCGACGTGAAATGAGTTTTTTTTTCTTCTTTCTTTTTTTTAATTTACATGATGGTATCGGTTCTTGACTCGGCAGATGAAGATGCGGCATGAGCTGACTTTGCTCTCACCTTGTGCACATATCATAGAGTACCTATTCTAGGCTATGAGAATGACACATTAGATCCATCCTATGCTCCGGAGCTGACCCAGGCAGTCAACGAGATTTCGCCAAAAGTCTAATAACTTGAATACTAAATATACTATGCCTATACTCCATGGTATATCGTCACATCTCTCTTGACGATTTGCATCAGATTCTCCTATGGTCTAGTATCCTGCCAAGCTCAGATGTCTCTACAGTTGCAACTCGACCCTCAGCAGTTCATCCCAAGTATCTAGATGAAACTGCCGCTAATGCAGCTCACTCTCCTGCGAAGTTTGCCAGCTGCACCTCTTGGAGATAGTTGTCTGTGATTCACTGTCACTGTAACCTCGTGCTTTCCTCAGGCACCTAGATGGCTGTCAAGATGAAGCAAACGTCCAGTGAAGGCATTCTGCCGGTGTTGACGATGGCAGCTCGTGCACTATAGTAATTCCCAACACAGTAAAACGCACCTCACCGCCCAAGGCCTCTGCACTCCTTTGCCTTCAACTGCAGCTTCTTCTTCCATCCTGCAGCTTTGTTCTCTGCCTCCACCTTCTCTCATTGTTCCTCAAAGCCACAGCTTCAGAGTGCATGACCATTGTCCCCCATTCAATACAATGGCTGCACAAACTACGGGCAGGCTAATTGATCTCACGCCTCCTCCATCCGTCATGGCTTCCCCTGTGGTCCTCAACTCGACCTCTTTCCATCATGGAGACCAGGGTGATGATACCGTATCTGCTGATCCTCCGGCGCAGCATACAATTGGCCAATCGAATGTTTCCCCTTCTCAGGCATTCATCACTGCTCCAGGACAGAGTTTGGAGATCGAAGCAAACAACTACAACAACAGCAATCAAGATAAGGGACATGGCAATGAGCATCAGCGAAGCTATAAGAAGCGTGCTGAGTGTCTTGAAATCTTTCAAGAAATCCAGAATGCTTTGTGGCGACAATTTCATCAGATACAGAGTATTGTTTTTGACAGTGTAAGTCGACAACCGCCACCTCTCACTTACACAAGCTAGTAGATACATGTACATATGGGCTAACATGATTCCTCTCGACAGAAAGAAGTTGAGCACGTACTTCAAGAATTGGCGGAGGAAGAATTGGACATCGATTTAGTTCGCGCCCTCCGAACGCTGGGCAATTCTCTCACCGGGGTTCGACACATTCTCAAGGGCAATATCATCATGATGGAGGAGGCAAAGGCCAATTCATCGCTTTCCAGTTCGGTATGTGCAAGAGACATGTCTAACAGTCATCTGTCCATGTGGCAAGATGGGTAGAGTACTAACTGAGTTGTGTGATAGGAGTCTGGCAGTTCAACTCCGCAATCCAACGAACGAGGCGTGTCAAACAGCAGGGCAGAATCACCGGACACCGTCGACACAGAGATTGATCTTTTGCTAGATGACGACCTTCCAGATGAGCAGATTATTGATATGACTAATCTTACTGATGATGATGATCAATTCCTAACCGAAAACTGGGATATGGAATTGCCAGAAGAAACCGTCTCGTTTGTTGATACCCCAGGAGGAAACGCACCCTTTCACCTAGATTTGGAGTATCAGTCCGATGTGGCAGAGGTCTATGTGACCACTCCAACCACAGGGCTGCAAAGCCGTCGCGTCATGCTCACAAACTTGCCGCCTGACGCAACCATGTCTCAGGTCACACGAGGCATTCATTGCTGTGGTGGAATCCTTGGCATCATGATACTCAACACTGCCCCAATTTTTGGCAATGATACCAAGACCGCCATGCTCGAGTTCGTGTATCACCAGTCGGCCGCCGAGTTTACACACGACACCAACACTTCTCCTCTCTTATACAAGGCCAGAAACGGTGACGTCTATAGTGCCAATGCATGGCTGATCTCATCTTCCTCCTATGGTTTCGGCAGAATTGACAAGGGCCTTCTTGATAATGGGTGTGCTCGTCGTTTCCTTCTTAAAGGGTTTCCGAAGGAGTGCATATGGTTCTTCATCAGCACCATTGGCATCAACAATATCGTGTCTGCTGACTACAATGAGGCAAATGACGGATTGACTGTTGAATTTGCAACTCTCTTTCAAGCAAACAAAGCTGATTGGCTCATCTTCTCAGGAAGATTTTCCGACTTTTACACTATTAACCTCGACGATGCAAAATTTCGCATGTTCCTGGCTGATTCGACGCACACATACGAGCCTTTGTCCAGAATCCGTCTTCGTCAACGTGAAATTCCAATCTCGCATCCCTTCGGAGACGATTTGGAAGAGCAGTGGAATCGTTATCCGTACAACGACTACTTGCCTCCTCACCTTCGGAAGTCGGCCGCCGAAATGGGACCAACACGGGTCTCTCAAAAGACCCGCTTGGCATTGCAGTACGACATTGACGAAAGCGAAGTCGACGACTACCTCGACGACCTCGAGGCCCACAAGGACACCGAATACCGTATCATAGGCAGCGACATCACCTTGACTCGCCGCAAATGGGGCTGGAAAATATCAGCCGAGGACGAGGCCAAGCTTCTCCTGGAAAACACGCTCCACGAGCCCGACTGGGCAGATTACTGGGATGAACACTTCAAGGCGTGTGGCGAGATCAATCGTCGCAAGTGGGAGCACTACGGCATGGTGGCCAAGCATCGCCGCGAGAAGGCCGAAGAGCAAGGCCTCGCCCCGGACATGGTACCCAAGTGTCCGAAAAGCTGTGAGATGGGATGCCGCGACATTAAGGCAGTGCCTGCGGCGACTGTCGTGAAGAAGTTCCTTGAGAGCTCTAAGAGAGCTCTTGATTAGATGGAACGGGGAGAGTGATTGGATGGAGTTTGGGGGGGGGGGGGGACGAGGACATTTGCTTACAAGGGAATTAACATTGCTTCGAGCTGACCGTGGTTATTATTCAAGGGATTTGGAACAGAAAATAGTATTCGGGGATTCACTTTTGATTTCAAGCAGGCTTCATTACGGCTATACGCTCTAGGTTCATCATTAGGAGAAGAGAGCACACGCGTACCTGAGGAGCATAGTCTCGCAGGTTATTATTTATACTAGTATGCCGATTTGTCATTTCACGTTTATTATAGCCGGCCGCATAATATCTGCCACAGGTTTGAGGATGAATCATATATGCAGACTCTTCTTCAAAACGTAATGCCCGCATTAGTCCATCTCCACATCCTCATGCAAGATCTACAATCGTCTTAGCGTAACTGTATGTTTCCTGTTCGTCAGAGCTGAGAACCCATTATCGGCTTGTCAAAACCCCAAGGGGAATCGGGCAATCCGCTAGTAATCAGCTGAAAAACATGCTCAGAAGTGTAGTTCGCCTCCCCAATATATATATCTCTCCAGAATACCTCGTATCACATTCCACCATTCACCCCATCATCGTCAACTAAAACAAAACACCCAATCCTAAGTTCTATAACACTTCTCCTTCTACGTCACCATATACACAACTATCCTCTTCCCAAGCACCTCCATAAAAGTACTCGATTTAAACACTGTCTTCAACACCCCCGTAGGCGCCTACATCCGCCCCTCAACAACAAGCTCAATCACAATAACGGCCACCACAAACTATCACACCAAAAACCTCTGCAGTTTCTCATCCATCACCGTCCCCTGTGCTGGTATTCCAAGCTGCATTGACCATGTCTCCGTCACCTTTGACGACGTCCTGGTCCTCGATACCGACATCTCGGAAAGCTTCATGAATTTCACCCTCTATCCTGACCAGGACTTGGAGTTTCTAGATGGCGTCAAAGAGATAAATGTTGTGCTAGACGCCAGTATCCCCAGCGATTCCAATGGATTGGTTATCAAGGATATTTCGATGAAGCTGTTTGAAGATTATAACTGAACTGGTCGTTACATCATACTGAGTGCTGTGACTCAGCAGTAGATGAAACAGTTATGGGAGATTGTCAAAGAAGGAGAAAGGGCCATTTATCCTAGACTTTAGGCCATGATGTTAAGGGATAAATACATCTGAGATAGGGTACACAACGAGAAGAACTACCTGACTTCCGTCAGAATCGTCGTCTCCTGAGCTCCGTATTTACTTAATTAGCAGGGTGATAGAATTGAATTATCATAAATGTATTGTCATTCCAGGTAATTATAGAAAGAAGTTGAAACTGAAGAGTTATTCATTACAACAAGACAATATTGAGCAGTCTGTCTAATCACTTCATGCCTAGTATACGACTCAAGCATTCAACAAAACCATTCTGCTTCAAGAAAATATGTAAGGCTGCTCACTCATGTTTTTAATCCCAAGCGCGCAACCCCCCAGCAGCAGCAACACCAAATGTATATCATGAAAGGTATATCAAATTCCTTGCGCCATTTGCCATGCGCCCGCCCCCATAGAGACTCAACTCGAGTTCCAGCTAATGCCATGATATCCGTCGCACCGCTCTCCTTTCCGCGCGGGGGAAAAAGTAAACCAAAAAATTGAATAAATAAATCGCTATTCTAGCCCAAACGTGTCGTCAGAAACCTGTCATTGAAACCCCCGAAATACGCCGAGTGCAGTCGAGACAGCGTTAGCAGTCGGCCAGACACTCTGATTCTGCAATTCATTCTCGCCCCCTTCTGTGACGACAAAGAATTCATCCTGCCCATCTCCAGCGAGCTCGTCTTCTTCGCCGTCATAGCCCTCATCCATCATATCGAGGCTGTCTTGATCCCCCGCAAAAGCCTCACTAACGCTGCCATACTTTTTGCGGATTCCGGGCCACGTCAGTTTCGACTGTTTCAAAGACCCCTGTTTGTGGCTGCTTTGTTTAGAGATACCGTTCTTGTGGTCAGTTTGTTTGGGTTTACTCAGCCCCTTGGCGGAATTGCCCTGTTTGCTCGTGCCCGATTTAGCTATGATTTTCCGTTTGCTTTTGGATATCTTGAAGAAATTCCGCACTAGGTTTGCTGGAATGTTTTCTTCAGGCTCCCATGTTCTCTTTTGGTCCGGCGGCCAATCGCCTTCCCAACTGACTTTAAAGTATCGCACTATGCCACGGCCATCTACCTCGTAATATTCGACGTCTTCAATTCTCTCCACGACCCAGTCAGTTTCCCCTTGAGGCCCAGTCTTTGGCGCATCATCTTCGGGCCCGGTCTTCGGCGCATCATCTTCAGGTCTGCGCCTTTTCTTCGATGTCTTCGGTTTGGCTGCTGGTGGATTGCTTTTAACTGCCTTGTCCTCTTCCTTGGCGATCACCATTGGGGGACTCGGTATCGTGCTCTGTCCCGCTGGTATGAATGATGATAACCCCAGCCCTTGCTGAATTTGACTGTTCTGTTGGACATTTGGTTCGGGTGGCTGTGAGCTCTGCATTTTGACCGACATGAGTCCTCCGTTGCTTAATCTTGGTGGTGTACTGAGCCGTATAATCGATGATGGTTTAGGTGGTGCTTGTGGCTGCTTTATTTTCCTAGGTACAGGGTCTACCCGTGAATCATTTCGCATGACTTCCGGTGGCTCGTTGGGTAGAGGGCTTTCTGTGTCTTCAGACGTTTCATACTCCATGGGTAGGTAGCCATGCAAACTCTGAAACTGCTCCTCAGCAATCTGTCGCGATGGGCCTCCTTCTTCATCCTCCAACCACTCAAATTCCTCCAACCTTGGCTTTTTGGGCGTTGAGAGACTCATAGCGCCCGGCTTATGCCGTGACTTTGCCTGGGCGACGGTTTCCGGCTCAGCGACAACTGCAGACTCTATCTGGCTGTGCGCTGGCGGTCGTCCCCTCTTCTTCTTGATCTTTTGTGGTGCCGCTAGGTCTGACTTGAGCTCTGCCTCCAATTTCTCCCTTTCATCGTCCAATTCCTGCTCCAGCCGTTCTTCAAAATCCTCGAGGGTTCGCGGGGAGACATAGTCCAGGACCTGCATGGCCGGTACTAGTTTGCTCGCAGCCGGAAGATCGCGCCACCCAATGAGGTACATCATCCGTTTCGGCAGAGGCTTTCCATTGGGCGCAAGTCCGGGCGAGGGAAGCAGAAGGCGTTCGGCGATGTAGGCGGTAGAGTCGCCGGGAAGCAGTAACGATACCGGTTGCAACGGCGGCCCGCTGCCCGGGACATAGTCGGCGGGTTTCGAGGCGAGAGGAATGACGATTCGCGATTTTGTAGAAGGCTTTGCAAAGGGCTTATCGAGAGCTGGTTTGCCCTTTGGATTGGCTGATCGAGGCAATGGCGCCATGCCCCGGCCAGCGAGGCAGCGATCCCAGAAATCGGGATCGAAGAGCATCATGACAGGATGCCGCGGGGGAGACGGGCTAACGAGCAGCCAACGGGTCTGTTCATCGTCTGCATTTACGGTCGTATCGACAGGGCGTCGACGGGCGCCGCAAGCGGGTGGGAGTCGCGTAATGCTGAGGTGAAATCGGGTAGGAAAGTCAATATCGCAGGGACGCGACGTCGAAGTTGAAAGGACGATGATGACTAAGCTCGCTCGGTCTTTGTTCTTTGTATGTCTCTCAACCTTCCAGGTTCTCTTTCATGCGTGATGTAGCCATTGTCATAATCACAATACAGACTCTGTGCTAACTTTCAAATCTGTATGTCAGTAATAATATCAATTAGAATGGGCATTGAGTTGACATCTTTCTCTTCAACGTTTGACTTGTCATTATTAGTATTCAGCCCTTTCTCATTGCTTGCATCTGAACGATTACAAGTACCCGCTCCATTCGTCCGCTAGCCTCTAAAGCTCGCTGTAGCTCAGCGCATCGGGTGGGGAATCCTTGTCACAGCTGCTAAAGCACCACCAAAGCCGACGCAGAAAAGCAACTGCAACTCTGCATCTCAAACCCTCAACCCTGCAAAAAAAATCTCCAAAAAAAGTCTGCGATACAACAGAAGCAGCAAGCAATTGTCTTTGCGCTCTCTCCGGCTCCCTCCCCGCCGATTCTTTCTCTCAACCATCATATTATTCCAATTGGCGACGCCTCTCAGCATCTGCCCGCCATGTCGTCGTCGCTGAAAACGCTGTGCATGCGCATCCCCGCAGCGCCCAGCAGCCTCGTGCGATGCTGTCCTAGAGCTTCATTCTCGCCTGCGCGCGCCCACCCCGGCGCCTTTGCGCTGACAAAATCCCTTGCGCGCGCAAACCACAGCCTCTCCGTCTCCAGCTCAATCTCAAAACCCAGCCCCAGCGCCCTCTCAAGCACGCGGCCGTCCATCGTCAGCCTCGTCGCAAGAGGCTCCTCCTCCTCCCCCACCTCATCGTCATCATCAGTCCGGCTCTACTCCAGCTCCGCGACCGGCTCTTCCGCCTCCGCCTCCGTCCCGGCCCTCGACTGGAACTCCTTCTTCAAGCTCCGCCTCCGCCGCCGGCGCATCCAGCTGCTCTTCTCCGTCGTCACGGGCCTCATCGGCGGCGCGGCCGGCACCATCTTTTTAGCCGAGGGCTTTGCCGAGCCGCTCATTGCGCAGATCCCGCTCGATCCCTTCTTCACCCTGGGCATCATGACCATGGCCTGCGCCGGCCTGGGCTGGCTCATTGGGCCGACGCTGGGCAACCAGGTGTTTTACATCATCAACCGGCGCTTCAAGACCCAGATGATGCAGAAAGAGGGCGAGTTCTTTGCACGTGTCAAGAGGCACCGCGCCGACCCTACAAACTCGAGCGCGGGCAACCCAGGTAAGATTCGATACCATGCGACTCTCTTGTATACCGTTGAAATCTAACACTTGAACTTGCAGTCCCGGATTTCTACGGCGAAAAGATCCAGAGCGTTGCCGGATATCGGAGATGGCTCAAGGACCAGCGAGCATTCAACAAGAAGAAGTCGGCCTCGTTTGTCTAAGCCAAGAAACGCACACGACTGGAACAAGGACGACATCGAAGCAATGGAAATGCGTGGGTTAGCAACTGTATCTTATAAGAAGAAAAATCTCTCTCTCTTTTTCCTCGTTTCTGTTTTGTGACAGCATGCTCCTTTGACGCTGCTTGGATGGACTTGAAAGAGGAGAAAAAATGGACCCCCTTTTCCTCATTACATTGGGACTGTGGGCTTGTAGTATGTACGTGTATTATGTATAATGAGAAACTCTCGTGTTTGCATCTATTCATTGTTGGCTTCGGTCTATCATCTTTATTCTCTCATATAAAAGGCAAACTTGGGTCGACAGTAGTCTTCCAAGCCTGTAGCCCGCCCAAGATATCCCCAATGAAGCGCTCTCCGTTACGGTCCGCTCCTAAATCTTTCAGCTTCTTCGCTGCAATCTGTGAATCGTTGCCCACGCGGCACACTATATATATCGGCGTATCAGAGGGCACATCCCCTGGTATCAGATCAGACAGCTCTGACCCTTCACCGCGGTGAGCCGTAAACCGACTAATGGGAATGTTGATGGAGCCAGGAATGCTGGACAAGCCAAAGTGTTCCTTTTCTCTCACATCGAGCAAGAGATGAGTCTTGTTCGCTCGAGATATCTGCTCGTACTCTGCCACCGAAATGCGCTCCTCTGGCTGAAGCAGCTTAACAGGCTGATTGACACCGCAAAACTGAATATAATCCATCGAAGTCTTGAGCTCGTTCAGCGTCAACGCCGAATCATCTCCCGCGCAAGCAAAACACCCCTTCCTCTTCCCCCTCATCCTAACCGTCCGGAACGGCACATCACCCATGGCACTGAAAAGCAGCATCCCCACCTGTCGCACATCTTCCTCATCTCCAGCGCTAGACTTCAAGTGATCTCCCCTTACAAGCAGTTTAATCGCTTCCAATGCCTGCAACACGCCCATGATACCCACCACAGGGCCAATAATGCCTCCCTCACCACATCCAACAACACTCTCCGGGGGAGGAGGCTTCGGGAAGACGCAGCGGTAGCAGGGGCCCTTGCCGGGAGGATTGTTGAGCACAATGAGCTGGCCCGAAGTCTGAAACGCAGAAGCAGAGACGAGTGGCTTGGAAAGAAGAACGCAAATGTCGGAGATGAGATAGCGCGAGGTGGGATGATCTGTGCAATCGAGAACAAGGTCGTACTGGGAGACGATTTCCTCGGCATTCTGAGGCGTGAGATGTGTAGCATGAGCATGATATGTGATAGTAGGGTTCAATCTATGAAATCAAGTTAATACGGCTTCATATTTCATCTTCATGATGGAGGGAATAGAACTCACCCTTTCAGATACGTCACAGCGCTGTCAACCTTCATCATCCCAACCCTATTCGTCGAATGCGCAACTTGCCTATGCAGATTCGACACCTCGACCGCATCGCCATCCACGAGACCCAACGTCCCGACACCAGCACCAGCGAGATATGCCGCCGCGGGACATCCCAGGCCACCAGCGCCGACGAGGAGGACCTTGGCATGCTTGATATTCAGCTGGCCTATAATTCCGCAAGTCAGTATATGATTCATCTGCGATTACGTCTTATGACAGAATAAATAAATACCTTGAAGGCCAAAATTGGGCACAATCATCTGCCTGCTATACCTCTGATAATCTCTCTCCTCAAGCGGCCACTTCCACTCTCCCTCGACACCATCCCTGTCACTTCCAACATCTAGCTTTTCAGCTTCAACAAGCCGCGCGCGCAACTGCACCAGCTCAGCCTCCTTCTCCTCAATCTCCCTTCTCAAAGCTTCTATCGTATCCATATCTTCATCAAAACAACACGCTCTCTGTTTCTTCCCGAAATCTTGTGTTGAATGAACAAAGGAAAAGAATAACAAGTCATAAAGTTTTGGCTGGCTTACAACAAATCTTAGCACATACCAGCACCAACTACCCCACCCACACCTTCGGTCAGTCCCCCCTCTCACCGAAATCTTCTCCACCAAAAAATCATCCATCACCAACTTTTTTTCTTCAATCCCAAGAATCCTTCACATGTGACACTCCAACAAAACCACCCTTCAAAATGGTAACAACTCCCTCCTTTTCACTCTCAATCTCAATCCCATAAAACTAACTCCATCTCTCACAGGCCCCCCAAAAACCATCCGCCACCGCCCTCCGCCACGCCCGCATAACAAACTCCATCCACCCCCTCGCCCCCCAAAAGACCTTCCGCCAAAACGCCTCCACAACAGACTCCTTCCTCTCCTCAAAACGCGACAAGCGCACCATCAAACACTCCTCCTTCGTATCCCGCATCTCTTCCTCCTCGCGTATTTCCAAATCCTCAAAGCCCCGCCGCCGCGGCGCAAAGAAATCCGCAACACTAAACTCCCTCGACAGTCTCGCCGATGCGCTGCCCGAACTCGCCGACGGAGAGGGCGCCGCCGAGATTCTCGATGGCAAGATTAAGCACCAGAGCTTAAGAAGCAAGAAGGGTGCCTTGAAGAGGAAGGAGAGGTTGTTGAAGGGCGAGATGGCGAGGTTTGGCGTTAGTATGGCGCAGTTGTCGCATTTGCCTGCGCAGACGCAGAGTGCGGTTCCAGAGCCTGAGAAGACCTCGGCGGCTTCTTTGCCGGCATCTGCTCCGACGCCAGCTCCGGCGGCGTCGAATAGATGGGCTGCGCTGAGGGGATACATTTCTGCTACGATGGAGCAGAATCCGGCGTTTGTGAACAAGGAGTAGGATTGATATGGGACTATTGGCCTATAAATATGGGAATTTGCGCTGCTGGTATTCAAGCCATGAGCACCTACGTTGGAATTTCAAGAGACAACGGCAAGATGGAGCAGATAAAGAGTAAAATATTCACGGGTTCAGCATTCGTGGTGCTTGAACAATATACGGTCATATAAAATGGTAGGGCTAGGAGTTCTGGAGCTGGGATTCATAATTCAATCATCCATTTAATTGATCAATACTTGCAATTTAAATGCTATGAAAAGAAATGCTATGCTTAAAGACGTTCCACCCGTCTCGATTGAGTCGAAAAACCCTCACTTGCCTCGACAATGCGTCGATGGCTGCAAATGCCATGTCCGGTAGCGCCATGTCCCCCCTTTGCTCTGAAGCCGTCATGGTCATATCTCGTAGCAAAAATAAAATAAAAAACAAACAAAATTGGTATCGTCTTGTCCCTCACATCATCCGTCCCCCATCGGCATAACTTCAGCCGCTGTAAACTCATCAAGCTCATTCAAAGTCTTTGAATTCCTCTCACAAACTAGGGGGTATGTTCTCTGCCTCCGCATTATCATACCCTATCCAACGCCAAACATGCAACAATCGCAATCGATAATCGAAAAAAACTCAATGACAAGCTCGCTATCAAAAGCGACATATTGAGCTCAACGAGAAGAAACTTGACAAAACAAAATGTAAGAAAAAAGGACGAGATTAAACAGAATCTCTCGGTGAGTCATCGGTCTTTGGCACGATTTTGTGCAAGAACCAGCCGAAAATCTATCTCAAGGCTGCTTTGAGGCCACGATCCTTGATGGGTGCGGCTTTGGCGAGGTTGGCAGTGACAGCGGATGGCTTGGAGCTGGATCTGGATCTGGAGCTGGAGTCGGAGTCGGACCTTTTCAATCCCTTCATAAGACCAAACTTCATCTCGAGCAGGTTGGGCTTCTTAGGATCGAGAGGTGGCTGGACAATCCTGCGCATGCGGACAGGAGTCGGAGTGCTCTGCGAGCTCTGCGAGCTCTGTGGAGACTTTTTGGTTGGAGTTCTTGGAGACTTGGAGACTCCTGAAGAGCTACTCTTTGGCGACTGGCTGGATGTAGCGGAGCGATTGGAAGAAGATGGCGATGCCAACTGCCCCTTGCCAGCCGACTTTGCCTTCGTCGTAGGTCTTTCGGGTTGCTTGGCTGCCTTTGGGGCGCCTGTCTTTGAAGCACCTGTCTTTGAGTTGCTTGTCTTTGAGGCAGTCGTCTTTGAGTTGCTTGTTTTCGAATCTTTAGTCTTCAGGTCCTTTGCCTTCAAGTCCTTGGTCTTCACATCCTTGGTCTCCAGGTTCTTTGTCTTCGGACTCTTCTTCTTGCTGGAGCCAGTCTCCGGATCATCCAACTTCGCATCAACAGCCTTTCGCTTAGCCACCCTTGGCTTATCCACCTTTGCATCTTCAGGAAGAACAGGAGACTTCTTAGCCTTGTCATCTCCGTGTTGTCCAGCCAAACGTTTCTCGAATTCTTCCCAAGAGCCGAAGCGAGCAGCTTTCTATTCAATTCGCGGGGGAGTCTTGGTTGAGGTAAAGGGACTCGCACTTCTCCTTGCATCTCTGTTAGCCATCGCATATCAACCAAAAAGATTACGTTTGAAGCAGAAGACACTCACGATCTGCGACGCTCTCCCTCTTTGCGCAAGTTTTCGATAATCTTGAGCATCTCTTTCCGGCCACCGTTGCTATCGACCATTTTTCCGGCCATGCTCATTGACACCTTTTCTCGCGCATTGGCCACCAGCAGGCGCTTGACGAGCAGGTGTCGCATCAAAAGACAGACAAACACGCCGCAGTCGCTTCCGTTTTCCTGCTGAGGCGAATCCTCCAGGTTGATGAATCGAATCTGTCGTCCGACAATGGTACCTAGCTTCCGCGTCGCAAGGGCTGCCTCTGCATAGTTGGCGCCGCCGAGAGAGTCGTAGTGAAAGGCAATGCCGTCGAGAACAGACACCAGCAGCAGCGACCAGTGGCTTCCGCCCTCGGCCTGGGCAACATTCCGGTTGTCGTTGATGGGCAGGAAGACGTGGGTGACCTTGGAAAAGTCGGGCAGGGCCGCCTGGACATGGCGCATGTCGGGTTCTTTCATGAGGAGAAACGTCATGCTGGGTCGCAGCAGGATGATGCGCGCCTGGGGAAATCGCGGAAGAGTCTCGTGCTCGAGATACTCTTCCCAAAAGGCAATGTTGTTGTCGGTCAGCCAATCATTCTTAAGCGATTTGATGTCTTCGACGGTGAGGAGGACATCGTAGTAGCTGAGGTAGGCCTTTTCGGGGGACAGCTGCCGATCCAATGACGTTAGCAGGGCCCTAAGCAAACAGGATCTCAAGGGCGTGTAAATGGAAGGGTGGGATTCGGTAGCAGAAGAGATTGCAAGTGTCGTTGGGTCAAAAAAAAAAAAAAAAAAAAGAGAAAAAAAGATGGAAAAAGAATGAGACAATGCCGTACAGAATCGCCAAAGTGGCGGGCCATGCGTTGTCGGAAAGGCATCCTGTGCTTGCGCCTCTTCCTCTTGCTATGCGAATCGTCGCGCGGCGTCGCCCGGCTGGTGCTGGTGCTGGAGCTGCCCCAAGGACGAATTGACTCGGACGAGCTTGTGCTGCTGCCGGAGCTGGACTCGCGGCTTCGGTAGATGAAGGAAAAGCCGGTGAAATGACTGCTAAAGAGGCGAAAAAAAGAGCAGAGAGATGAGAATCAGAGAAGTTTTGTTGTTTCGTCTTAGACAGGAAGTAGAAGAATTAAAAAAGAAGAAAAAGTGTGTAAGGCGAGAGAAGCCCGGCAGATTAAGGAAATGGGCTTGAAAAAAATAAATGCGGGGCGTTGGGGTCGGTTCAGGTTTTGGATCCGGCTTTGTGAAGCGAAATCTGAGGAGGAGCTCAGATTGCGATGAAACGGGCGATGACGAGGGGGGAGACAAAAGGCGTGATGTGATGATGTTGAGGTGAAGACGATGTGAAGTGAAGGTGTTTCATGCGTATGTATGCAGTACCTAGAACAGGCAGATGCAATACGACCACATGCACCTAAATGCAAACAAAGGGGTCGCAATAGGTTCCTCTCCAAGGCAGCAATGGGAAAACAGCCAATTAATCAATATGCACGGGTAGGCAATCAATCAATCCGTCAAGTCAGGTGGGCGTCGCGACTCAACATGAAGCCAAAAGTATAAGCCGCCCCGGGCTCTCTCTTCTGCTGTTCTTTGTCTTGGTTCCCCCCCCAAACCAACCTAAACCAAGGCAGCGCCCGGAGACACCGGCTCAAGTGAAAACATGTGGGCTGTGCCTTGCACTTGCGTCACTGCCATTGAGGCGTTCTAGCTGAGCCTAGCAGCACTTTTAGGGAGGAAAAAGAGGGAAAACATGCGATCAAAGAATGGGCAGATGACTCTTTTGTTTTTTCCCCTTTCCCCGGACGGGCAAACCGGGTGATGTTGATGCCAAGAGTGCATTATAGGTAGGTGGTGATGGAATAGTAAGTAGTAGATAAGTAGACGCAGTTCTCACCTCCAGTTTCCAGTAGGCGATGAAGACGCCGATGATGACCTCGACGACCGCATATCGGTTTCTATCTGGTGCTTGACAACAAACACCGTAATAGACGATGTTCAATCTCTCGTAGTTTTCGTATTCGATCTCGCCAATGTTGCGCGCTGTCGTCGGTCAAACGTGGGTTTTTATCCTTCCCCCCAGAGTTAGGCACCAAAAAGAGCAAACCGCCACAGAACCGCTTCTCACCAATCCCGAGTGCCGTCACCTCAATGCAGCCAATCGTCAAAGCCCTCTGAGCAATCGATTCAATCAATCGCAGGCCAACAACGCAGCAAACAACCCGAGACCAGTCCGAAAATGAAAAACGAAAAACGTCCCCAGGCCCAAAGATATACTACTCCTCGCCTATTCCTCATACCGCTAACCAACCACTTACAAACCGACCCCCAATTCTCCATCGTCTTCTTCGCACGCGCCCCCCATCCTCCCTTTTTTTTGTTTTCCCTCGCCGACTTTCCGTTGCTTCTCCATTTGCAAATTGTTTGAGCCCTCTCGCTTCTTGATTTGCTCAATCCTGTCTGTGTGCTCCCTCATGCCCGTTTCAGCTACCCGCTGGCATGCACGTCACGTCACCTTTGGGTCGGGAACCCGGCCTTGTCTCGTCTGTGTCTGTAACCATCATCCACCAACAGAGAGAAAACCCCCCTTTTTTCCTTCCATCTTCTCCTTCTTTTCCCTTTTTTCCGTTGCATCTCTCTATTTCACTCGTTAGATACTCTTCTTTCTCCTCCATATCTTACAAGCATCTGTATTACTCCATATCCACACCGCAATGCATCAATCGTACTCCCTGGTCTAGTCTTGATAGCACCACCACACCAACACTTTTTTTCTACCTGCACATCCTCGGCATCGTCACACCTATCGTAGGCATGCATTTGCTATCCCACACCCCAACTGCTTGCTCTTGTCTTACTCCCCATTTCTCGCCGCCTCACATGCCAACCAACTCTGCGCCGCTACCCCACAAGCCCTGCGTCTTACAAGTGCTCGCTGGCAACTTGGCATCCCCAGCCCGCTCACCCGCTAGCTGCCTTGCGTCCTTCGTGGTCCCTACCAGCAATGGCAACTGACATCAATCCATGACACCAGTCTTTTACCTTGCTTGCTTGAGGCTGATACTATTACCAACTCACTTAGCACGTACATAACTACGGAGTACATGCCTATCTATCTCTACATACCGCCACCACTTCCATCGGGCGCATACTGTAGGTGCTACTGTAGGTACACACATGTAACGATGGAGATCCCGGTATCGCATCGACGACGACGGCTTCTCTCACCGCCGGCTCTCCCTGTCATCCTCCCCGAGTCTTCAATATCCTGTCATCCGGCACTTACAAACTACATACGAGTATGTACTCCGGAAAAGGGCATATTGATAAATAATCTCTGCGCCACTCCAAGGACGATTTCAAGACAACACAACGCCGTGTCTCAGGCCAAAGCTTGCATCGTGATTCCAGGCCCCCAACATGATTCAAATCCCCATTGGCTGGCTGCATAATTGACACAGCCATCCCACATCACATCATGCATCATGCATCTCTGCACGCTACCTTGGGCCAATTCGCTTATTTCACTGGATGCAGAGGCTGTATGATGATTCATGACATTGACAGTTGAATTCGTCTGCCGCTACATTCGTTGGGCTTGCATCAAATCGTAGATCCCAGCTTGCTACAGCACAAGCGGCAATCAACCACACCAAGAAACAAACACATCAGTCTCGTCCTCTTGCACGTATGATACATGCATCACTGGAGCCAAACACTCATCTCACAGCCAGAATCCCGGACTTGAACTGCCGGGTCATGCCAAACCCCACGCCTCCTCCATCACACCACAGTATTCTTCTCTCGCATCAACGCATCCCGCAGACCCCCAAGGCTTTGACGCGTTCGAACATACACTTGATGTCGAGCTTGAAGTGAATTGTCAAATTCCATTGCAGATCCCGCTCTGGCCAAGCCGTGTGCCTGAATGGCTTCTGTTGTTGATTGTAACTTCTGGCCAAACAGCCCACCATCGCTGCGGAAGGCCTGCGCCATGCTGGCGCTATCTTGTAAACACTGTTGCTTCAGGTGTAGCACAGAATCTTTTCCATTTTTCTGATATGTATCGACAACATTGAAAATGGCTCTCTTTTTATCATCTAACCGAGCGATCAATTGCTATTAAGCGGTCAGCAGGTGACTTCCCAAACAAACTGCTGAATACTACTCACGTCAACAGCATGGCGTATCTGGGTTTCGACATGATTGGGGCTGGCAGCAGAGGCCGATTTTGCTTCAGACTCTTGGGGCTCTTGTTCCGCATCTGTTTGTCCTAGGAAGCTTTTCATAATCTCATCATGAAGCTTTCTCCCGATACTGGGCTTACGCTTCGGAGCCGGCGCTTTGTCACTTACGCGTCGTAACCATTGCGACGAGGATTTGCCATTCATTTCGTTGAAAGCGCTGCTATGCTGCTGTTCAGTACGCTCATCATTTGAAGCGCTCCTCAAAAAAGATGAAGGTTGTGGTGCAATAGGCAGCTCTAGACGACCGCTCATGGGAGGATGCGGTTTGACGGGCACTAGCTGAATATTCTCAGGAAGGATAGTGTCATTAACAACGACTGGGCTGCCTTTTTCCGACACACTGAATTGTCTCGACAGACGTCTTTTCTTTGCTCCGTGTTGTTCGGCGAAAATTGCCCCAGATTCGTTCAGAGTATTGTCCTGCCTGTCGATTGCTGCTGGTACACAGCGATGTTGTTGTTTTGGCTCCTGTATAGCAGTGAAGTCATCGCCACTGCTGGCAGAATGGCTTTCCCTGGAATCTTCACCTTTTCTAGTGCTTGGAAGCTCTGGAAGGTATTCCGAGGGACTTTCGGCAACTGGCTGGACCGGGCTGTCGAGAAAGGTGATAATATCTTCACCTCTGGGTTTGGGGGGATTTTTGGGGACTGGAGGGATTTCTGGTTTCTTCTTTTTCTGTGGTCGAGCCCGTTTCGGCTTCGGTTTTGGAGAACCTGCGACAGGAGAACTAGATGCTTTGGCAGATTCTCTCAAAGCGTTGACGATTGGCAATCTAGCGGGCGCAGGTTGCTTCTTCCTCTTCTTGGATACGGGTTCTTCCAGTATCTCTTGGGTAACAGAATCAAACCGAATGGGCTTTTTAGCCTTCGGTCGGTGCTTCTTTTCCTTTGGCTGTAAAGTTGGTTTGGACGAACAACTTTTGGTCTCATCATTAACGACTGGCTGGCTGCCGTTTGGTTTGGCTGCGGCGGGCATTGATGCAGCAGCGGCTGGCGTTGGTACAGCTTTCTTAGGAGTCAAGTCATAAAGCTCGTCGGCTGGTAGATGACCTGACGGTATAGTTGGCATCTTTTTAGATGTTTCCAGAATGGGGCTGCTATCTGTCGGGCTATCGTCAAAATTCCAGATATCTTTGGGTTCATTGCCTCCTACGAAAGAGGAGCTACGATAAATGGTGGATGCAGTCTCTGAAAAGTCGACTGTCTTCCTTGGAGTAAAGGATTGGTTGTCTTGTCCTGCAGAGGCTAAAGGTATCGTATCCGGCAAGTTATTTCTCCCGGAAGTCGGGCTCGAGAATGGGGCCAAAGATTCGTCGAAGTCCCACACATCGTCAGTGGACAAATCCCCAAGGTCAGCTGGTGAACTCCGTCTGGTATTATTCGTAGTAGAGCCAGCGTCCGACCAGGTAAAAGGCTTGGCGAGCTGTTCATCTTTATCAACAAGGATAGGTTCCGAGTTGGGGTCGTCAGGAAATGGTTCATCTGCCTTCTCTTCATGCCTATTGGGAGTAACGTCCAGCTCGTTGAACTGAGTTAAAGTTCTCTGCATCCTTGCATGTGTGTTCGGCTTAGCGCGCAGTCGAGGTGCCATGATCAAGGAAGTCACAAGAGATTAACGAGTGGTGTCATGAAGATTGCTAACGAAGAGGCTTGGAAAGAAAGCAAGAAAAAGAGGAAGAGGAAGAAGAGGGGAAGAGATTGGGGGAATTCTTTTTTGTATGTGGTCAACAAAGTGAGGGAGGAGCACCTGTGAAATGGGAAGGAGTGCCTCTCAACTCTTCAACCCTGAGGCACCTCCTTAGAATCAAGGTGCAAACCACGAAAGGTACCGTTGTACCTCGCAATCAGTGAAAAAGATTAGATAAAGTAAAATCTGAATTGAACTGAGCATTAAAAGCGTGATAAACGCATAGCAACATATCCTTAGATGTGCGTGACATTAGCAGCTGGCAAAGGGCAGCTGGCAAGAAGCCCTTTAGGCTAGATACGCCAAGGTCGAGTTCCACTCTGGTCTCTCCCATCCAAACAAACCAAAAAAAAAATAAAAAAGAAGAAGAAGAGAAGAAGGAGAAGAAAAAAGCAAATCAACGCATATTTCCAGCTGATCTTACAACAAATTCTTCCATCCAGCCTCGCGACATTTCTTGACCAGTGATTTCACCTCCTGGGAACGAGCTCTAGTAGTTACCATGAGCGCATCAGGGGCGTCAACGATAACAATGTCGTCAACACCAAGACACGTAATCAACCGGCCAGACACGGGCACAACGATTCCTCCAGCAGTTTGTTCGGATACAACTACAAGAGCTTGTCAGCAGAGCTTTCTAGGAGATAATGAGGCTAAAGGCGTGGCTTACCCAGTCTCTGATCACCAAGCACACGAGGCTTGTTCGACTCAGCCGGCAGCATCTCGGCCAAAGATGAAAAGTCACCAACGTCGTCCCAACCTAAGCAAGTCAGCACATATTATTCCATCAAGTGCAACAATCGACAATTGTCCTTCAGTAACTCACCAAACGTGGATGGAATGACTGCCACCTTTCCTTGGGCAGCCGCAGGCTCAGCAACCGCATTATCGATGGGAATCTTCTCCAGAGTGGGCCAAACTTCCTCCAAGGCAGTCTTGCGTGCGGCCTCATCGTCCCACACTGCAGAGATGTTCATCAAACCCTCATAGAGATCGGGGCAGTTCTCCTTCATCAGCTCCATGAGGAGAGAGGCCTTGGTGACGAACATGCCCGCGTTCCAGCGGTACTGGCCCGTAGCAAGGTATTTGGCAGCGGTGTGAGCATCAGGCTTCTCCTTGAAGGAGCTCACCAGTCGTGAGTGCGGAGCTGATTTTAATCCAAGTTTGTCACCCAGTCGGATATAACCAAATCCAGTGGCAGGGTGAGAGGGTGCAATGCCAATTGTGACTAGGTAGCCTTCCTTAGCCACCTCGACGGCCTCAGTCACAGCACCAAGGAAAGCATCCTCGCCAGAGATCATATGATCAGCCGCAAAGGATCCGATCACTGCCTCGGGATCGCGTCTGAGCAGGATAGCAGCAGCCAAGCCGATGGCAGCCATGGAATCTTTGGGGCCGGGTTCGGTGAACAGGTTGGAGGAATCCAGGTTGGGCAGCTGGCCCAAGATGCCCTCAGAGTGAGCAGGTCCCGCGACGACAGTCATTCGTGAAGGGCCAGCCAGGGGAAGGAGTCGTTCCCAGGTCGACTGCAGCAAGCTGTTGCCACAAAGGTTGACATCGAGCAGGAACTTGGGGTGGTTCTCGCGAGAGAGGGGCCACAGGCGGGTACCAGCACCACCTGCGGGGATCACGACGTAGAATCCGGGGATCTCACGATCCGGGAAGGGAAAAGAGTGGGTGGTGACTTCGCGAGAGGGCGATGTGATCAAGACCTGAGTAGGACCAGCCTGGGGGGCTGTAGAGCGACGAGGCAAGAAAGGCGAACGGGCTCGCTCACGGCCGATGCTGGGGGACATGCCGGCAGAGAGACCCGGAGGGCTGTTGCTGCGTCCTTGCTGCTGGATTGTGAGAATTACAAACAAGATGAAGGAAGAGAATGAATGCCACTTGAATGCCGGTGATTCAAAGCAATGCGAGATGGCGACGTACAGAAATGTTCTGGAGCATAATCTCCATGCTCCTGTTCGACGTACGAAGGTCTGAGCATTCTTTCCGCAGCTCAGTCAATTCTTGGTTCTACACCTCCGCATTAGACTCACTCTCATCTTGATCGATGCATCCAGCTGATGGGCCCGATAATGCCGCCAGCAAAAAATCGCAGCCTCGGCCTTTCAACCACAGGGGTCCTCCTTTACCTGCTTCTCCATCGCGCCCATGATGCGCTCCAGCATCATCTCAATGCCCATCTTGGGCGCCTCCGACACAGTCGTCGCCATGGTTCTCAATCAACCGATTAAACACAAAAGATAATAACGAGCGGATGGCAGAGGAATGTTGCCAGATTTTTGTGAAGTCCTGCGCAAATTCACACGAAGAAGCTAAGGTAAGCCGGAGAGTTCAAGGGCGCAGCATGAAACACTAAAACTCACTTTTATCTCAGACCCTTTTTCACACAGTCAGCATCACAAGAACACGTACACAGATCGACTGTGAAAGAGAGAAAGAGGGGATATCTTAAAAGTAAGATTCACTGACTTTTGGGATTGCCGTCTTACGAAGTTACGAGAAAAGAGAGAAAAAAGGACACGACACACATTCTACAACTTTTTTTTCCCACCTTGTCCCCCCTTTCGACGCCTTCTTCCCGCTGCTCCAGTGTTTCCATCCAAGACACTTTTCCTAAAGTGAGGCTAGCATGGGCAGGCAAAACACACCGAAGTAACCTCGATCCAGCCGCCGGCGTCACAATAGGAGAGCAGAGTAGGGGTCTTAGAGCGCGTGCTAAGCCTTCGCTGTGGACCCCTGGGCGAGCGCCATGTGAGGCTGACGAAGGACTGCTGCCCATTTGGGAGGCGCTGGCGCGTCTCATTCGCCTTTGGAGAGGGTCGTTGCAAAGTGGTTCCATCTTTGCTCTTGGGTCGGCACAATGGGCTTGACTCGACTCGGTCGTTTAAAGGAGGCGGGTCAGGGCGAATGTTGGCGGATCGGAGTATTGCGTATTAGTCGGTGGGTACTTGAAGATTGCGTGGTTTTGATCGATTTTTTTCTTTTTAAATCTCTGCTGGTCTATTTCTGTCGATTCTCGGAAGCCACCAAGCGATGGAGATCAATTAGGCTCAAACGGTTCTTCAATTACAGTACAGTACATATACGTGCTACGATTGACTCTCCCCATATTTCATGTGCATCATGAAGGGTATTGCTGCATACGCAAAATAGGCAAATGGGGTCACAGAAGCTGTCATTGATTTTTACTCGTATCCCTCAGCGATCTTCGTGTTCTTACCTGTTGGTCCGCTGTTGTCAAATACGAGATGCTCCGCACCGCATTCTAGATTAGATTAGATGAAATCCTTCGAGAAGGGCACAGCTTACGCCCGCTCACTTACGCACTCACCGTATCCTGTCTTCTTCCTTCAGGCCAGATTAGCAAATCAGACCCGCGTCGCACCACGTCTCGGCCCGCCTTCCCTTCCATGTTGCTGAGCACAGCAGCCCGTTAGCCTCCATTCAACGACTAATCCATAATTCCGATCAACTTAAACCATTCGCTTCCCTTTTTTAACGTGCGGAGTTTCCCCTGTGCCCAAGGATGAACTACCAAGGGCGACACGCCGAGTTGATGTCACGACTGGTGATTATTCAGCCGTTGCAACGCTGCCATAGGTCGGATCATCGGTATTCGCAGGCAAGCCTAGGTCCGACGCTCCGCACGGGTTTGGAGTCCGCAAGTTAGAGCAGCTCGTTAGTCACAACCACGGAGAGAAAAAAATGAGGAGCCTGCAGGTTCAGGCAGCGCTGTGCCGAAGAGGGCGTTTGGAGGGTGGTTGATCGTTGCAGCATTAGTTGATAAATAGCCCCCTAGCCGCGTTTCATGCGTGTGTCGTTTTGCCTAGACGCTCTGCCCATAAGTACGGTAGTTGCGCCGCCAGCGAAGAGGTTTTAATCCCGACATCAGCTAGTCATCGTACCCAGATTGTACGCGCGTGTCTGCCCATCATGAAGGGAACAGACGCCATCGCTCCTGCTGTGGCCGCTCTCGAAAAGGCCGAGAATGTAGAACAACATCCAGCAAAAGGCTCGTATCCGCCGATATCCTCTATTCCAAACACCTCGCCGAAACGTCTCGCCCAAGCCGCCGAAGATGCCCCCAAAGATGTCGCGCAGTCTGCCAAAACCGTCCTTTACCTCGCCTACGGCTCCAACATGTGTGCAGAGACATTCCTAGGGAAGCGAAGAGTGCGACCTCTTTCTCAGATGAACGTCTCCGTCCCGATCTTGCGCCTGACATTCGACCTGCCCGGACTGCCATACCGAGAGCCGTGCTTTGCAAATGTCGGATATCGAAAGCTCCCCGAAAAGCCCAAGCTGCCCGACCCTCTTCACCCCCCAATCGTCCCACCGATCAAACCGCCAAAGATGGAGCAGGAGTGGGATGGTGGCCTCATGGGAGTCGTATACGAAGTGACAGAGGAAGATTGGCGAAACATTATGAGAACCGAGGGCGGTGGCTCAGGCTACCAGGAGATCATGGTGCCGTGTCTGCCAATGCCCGCCGACGTTGGCGTTCCGGAGAAGCCATTCCCACCGGTGCCCACGCTGCCGAAACCTTTCCTCGCAAGAACGCTCTATGCGCCGTACATCCCGCTCGAACCAGATTCAGACAAGAGAAGTTGGTGGACCAGATTCGTCATTAGTCCTCATAGGCCAAAGCCCGACTATGCTCAGCCGAGCGCCCGATACCTGAAGCTCTTGCAAAACGGTGCACGAGAGCATGACCTTCCTCTAGCCTATCAAGACTATCTGGCCTCTATGCAGCCCTACACCGCGACGACGTTGAGGCAGAAGATTGGGCAGAACCTATTCCTCCTCTTCTGGGCACCGATGCTGCTCTGGTTTTTCGGGATAACGACCTTTTTGGCAGACGAGAGGGGAAAGGTTCCGCGGTGGGCTGCAAACACGAT